GTGCAGCGCTGTATGTTGTTTAACTTCTGATTGTGTTCTTTTCAGTGAGTTTCAGTAAAGGTTGCTATTTGGGTCAAGAATTGACTGCAAGAACACACTATACTGGAGTAATACGGAAACGAATCATGCCTGTTGATATAATCAGGTATTGCCTTTGTTATTATTGTTTTATATTTCATTTTTGATGTTGCTGTTATTATTATTATTATTATTGTTATTTTGAATATTATTATTATTGTTATATTTAAATTCTTTATACTAGACTTTCAGTACTCACTTGCTGTTTTATAAAGTGATACAGTTACATAATGACAGTGAAAGAGAAATTTACCACAAATCTTGTGAGGTTTGCTATACAGGTGTATATAATTTTGCAATGGATAATTAAATAGAAATGATTTTACTCAATTGTTTACAATCTTGTATATAAATAAATATCATTTTGTGAATTGCCCATACTTTTAATTTATTTTGTCTTTAAAAAAAAAAAAATAAATAAATCATGTTTTATCTTTGTTGTTCACGCCCTGCGTGCGCCTGATTAGGCCATGACCTGGGTTTTATGTCACATTCTTTTTATTGTTGTTGATAATAAAGAATGATTCGATGATGATATTTTCATCCAGCATATTATTTTTTTTTTTTTTTAGTTCACCAACAACAGCTATTGAACCCGGAGCCTCAGTCAAGAATGAAGATGGAAAGAATGCCGGGAAGTTCCGAGGCCACATCAGAGAGAATGGACTTGCATTGGTCAGAGTTGCTTTAAGGTTTGTTACACTGTTTTATATTGCATAACATATTTGCTCTGATTGGCTTTTAAATCCAATTGTGAATTCAATTCTGTTGTTTCTTTTTAAAAAAATATTGTTTTTGTAAATGATGTTTTAGTTAAAATTTTATCATATCAGATTCTGCTTCATTGTTAGAAGCAAATTTAAAAAAAAGAAATGTAGACAGAATATCGTGGTAGTAATCATAGGCTATGTTCTCACACGGCTGCTAACGGTTAGCAGGATCCAGATCCTGATAACCGTTAGCTGCTGTGCGTCCATATGAGAAAATCCCAATGCGGATACCAAGAATATGATGATCGAATCACTGGCCAATAAGAAACTGGAAATTTTTAATGCGTACGTGTGATTGGTTGATGATAGAAACGCGCTCAACTTGCTAACCGATAGCGCTTGCTAACTGTTAGTGGTATCCGGATACTGCTAACGGTTAGCGCTAACCGATCGGGCGTTCTCACGCATGTGCTAACAGTTAGCTCCCGATCCGGATACTAGGGCTCCTGTGAGAACCAGGCTTTAGTTGTTTTCCCCAATTAGCTTTTCTATTTTGGGCCAATTAGCCACCTCAATGCACCCTGGGAAGTTTTCAAGTTTCTTGATAAGAAAACTATGCTCCTAACAACATTACCTGTACTGTACATTCCATGTTTCAGTCAGAACAAGAAGTTATTTGTAAAGGACCAGGATGACAAGAGTATAGAAATGCAGGCAAGAATACCAGACTGGTGGCCAAGTAAGGAAGAATTAGTTATCCAATGAATTTGCACTATATACTTCACATGACTACATCTTGGAAAGCAATACTGCCCTCCTGTGGTGAATGAAACTAAACTCTGGATTATTGAAGCTGAAATTCACTGTTATAGGGTGTTATATAATAGAATTATATACAATATAATAATCCCGGTTTAGATGACAGTTCCCACTGAGATGCATCTACAGTATATATGAATGTGACTGAGCCAATCACATGATCTAGAGTTCAGGATGTTTACATCGGTGCCAGGTCTATCTAAATTCACAGAGGGAACCTGAATTCAAACGCTGAGTTTCTGTTTCTCCAATGTTGCATGTTTTGATTGGTTAATTCGCATGTTATACGTCATCCTGTTATTCTCTCAAGCATTGAATAGCATTGGCAAAGCAAGTGCAAATATTATATCATTGGGGAATCAACAAAGAGAGGCATGAAGAACAGTGGATTGCATTTTTTAAAATATACTATACAAATTTTGACTGCTTTGAGAGGTGTAGTTTAAACTATATAGCCCCAAGGTGATATTTAAACTGATATGCCACAAGTCAATTTCCTAGTCCTATGTGTATGCCTAGGCTAGATTGAATGCTTTCCGGCGTCTTCTTTAGCATAACTATGTATATCTACCACGATGTATGCTAGCAAGCCATCTGCAATATGTAGTGACTATGCCTGGGGCATAGTTGTTTTATTCCCACACTTTCAACCAATCGGATGCCTAAGATCTGTGCATGTGATGTAATAAATTATACAGCATGAGTAAAAGTAGTGGAAGGTTCACTACCCACACAGTCACACCGTTATAAATCATAAAATACAGTTATTGAGGATTATTATAGACATGATTAAAACTGTTTGTATTGAATTACAGTAATGTAATTTTGTTAATTATATGTAGATATTTATTGTAAATTATATTTTAAAATAAAATATTCAGGGTGAAATTATACATTTTGAACTTAAGTATACAGTACTTTATTACAGTACTGGTGACTAGTTTGTATCATTTGGTTAATTTATATCTACAGCTAATTTTTTTTTCTCACTTATTCCAAGGTGTCTGGTGCTACCTAGCATTATAATCATTATTTGACTGAAATAAAATGTGAATAAAGTATATGTAAATGAAAATCTAATTACTGTTGCGCATGGTGGTTACATCTTAGTCGTTCGTTCCTAGGCCCCATGGTCTAGGACATTTTGTCACCGTTTTCACAAAGAGATACAAACTTCAATTTCGATGAAAACGTTTTGAGAAAAACATGTTTGAAGTGGACTACTTCACAAATCCATAAATTTTACTATCAAGATTACAAAATTTTGATTTCTTTTTTACATATGTTTAAAGATAAAGAATTAAACAATTTAAATGTTCAATTAATTTTTCTTTTCTTAACTTTGATTAACCTGTTTGTGTCTATTTGTGAAAATGATCAGAATAAATGCAGCATATGTTGTTTACACGTATAGTTTGTCACTTAGTGAAAATGGTACACACTCCCATTGTAGCTGTGGTTTAACCATTGTAGTCAAGGGCAAAAACAGGCCTACAAACTCGGCTTATCCTGCTTAAATCATCATGTTTTTACTAATAATTCCACACTTGATCACATGCATAGACCACTATGCCTAGGTAAGCTAGGGAAATCTAATCTTACATTTAGCCCTAACCAAGTTAGGCCTTACCTAGTGATCACGAGTTCAACGCTGCATGCGCATATTTTAATAACCACTGAAGTTTGTGTCTGTTCGTGAAAACGAAGCCATTTTTCTTGGTTTGTGCACTACAGCCAATTAGCTAATTGTGTAGTTGAACTCTTAAAAATTAGATAAAAATGTAAAGTTTGATGTACATAATTAAAATGTCAAAGAAAGAAAAATTGAAAGAATAAGTAGGTGTCAGTGACAATTTATTTGTATATCAGGCCTGTCATTGTTAAACATCTCCTGCATATTGAACATATGGTAGCAGTGGCGCATATTAGAGATGTGGGAAACATTGTCACTAACTACACAAGGCAATCCCATTGAAAATTTCCAGAGCCATTAAATATCACCTCATATACTAAACATTAAACATATTATAATCATCACCATCATCATCTTATTTATCTTGCCATGTCTGGAAATGTCAAGCTACAATTCAAAAGCAGTGTTTAATAATGTATACTGTGTGTAGATTAAGACATTTGGACTAGATGATTCACATATCAATTTTTATTCTGTTTTAGTTCACAGAGTTATAGTTATTGCCACACTGTACGTTTAAAACACAGATTTATGTTCAGAACATTCATTCAACATAACTGAAATATTACTAGTACAGTATAAATATTATATATTAATATTTTTAAGTTGTTTAGCATTAGTATAACTACTACATGTGGTATACAAATATTAATTTTTAAATACTAATATTGCACATCTATTTAATTTGTCATAATTCTCTAAGTGAGTATATTTTTTAAAGACATTTCAAAAAATTGTAGCAAAAATAAAAGAAGGTATAAACAAATAGTACCTCCTCTGCTGAAGTTCCATGAATTACATAAATACAACATGATATAGTATACTGTATGATATAATATACATTAATACAGGTAAATTTATGAAAGTCTTCCTATACTATAATTTACTGTTACAATGATTTATGAACAATTTACAATTTACAATTTCAGATTATTATTTTTCCAGTGTATATTTTCTAATTTTCCTCCCAGAATATATTTCTAAGGAGCATTTTCATTTTCCATGATTTGTATGTTGTATCAGAAGCTCAAATCTGATGTGCCCCTCCCTCAGTAGTATAAAATCCACACAGTATAAACTTCTTTCCCAGGTTCACTTCAATATACCCATTCTCCAATTTTTTTCGAATGTGGAATGGCATTTTAATTATCCCAATCCTAGAATTCCTCATTATTTTTTTTTTATTAATTAAAATCTCATATTCCCCAGCAGTTCTTCATCATATTTACAAAATCTTCGTCATTTTCAATTCCGATACTCGTGCCTTCGTAATAATCCTCAAACTCTCCCCAAGTGATTTCTTTCGTTTTTCTGTTGAATAAGTCCAAGAAGCTGTCCATTACTTCATCTGCACTCATTTTACCTGAACGAGAAACAAAAAATCAAACTTTAAGAAAAAAGTTTAAAAAATTCCTTTTTACTCATGTAAATTTTATTCTCAAAATTGTAATTTTGATATTTTTGTGATCCAAATCTGGAAATCCCATTTATTTTTAATTCTGTTTGAACCTCTCTCTCGTATTTTATCTTTTTAATCCATTGATTTCAATTTTTAATGTTTTTTGGTGTCAATTTTCAACATTTATTATTTTCTTAAGCTTGTTAAATTTAATTTTTTTTAATTTTTTTAATATATATATTTTTTATATTTGTAATTTCTTATATTTAAATTGTAACCATTTGTTGTAATTAAGTTTTTAACTGTGATGCATTTTGGAAATAAACATTGAATTGAATTAATGACAGGATTTCAGTCCTTCACTTTGCTTTTCGTTTGTGTCTGTGAGCAAGACACTGTATCTAAAATTGCTTCAGTCTACCCAGCTGTATCAATGGGTACCAGCAAATTGCTGTGAGTAACCTATGGTGGACCAGCATCCCACCCAGAGGGGAGCATTACCCCACTTGAAACTGGGGATAAGCTTCAGCGCATATGAGCCCTGTGGCTCGAGGCTAGGATTTTATTATGTTAAGATACACAGGTACAATATACTGATTATATTATTATTATTCACCTTGTTGTACCAGTGGATGTTTTTGTGCCCTAAAGAACATCTTCAGTTCATCCATACCAACGGTGCCTGATTTGTTAGCATCAACTTTTTGAAAAGCCTGAAAAAAAGAGCAAAAATAAAATAAAGCAAGCAAGCTCTGAATATCAAACTCAGAATGGTTTTAAATATGGTAGGTTGCATTGGAAGGATTAATTTAATTTACTTGGTTGAGGGGTAGGGGCTCTGCAATTTATGGTCTTAACATGAGTGCTGTTTCAAGATTCTTGCCACTCATGGTTTGGTTTGTACAATCAAGTCTTCCCAGATAAGGACTCAAAACCAGTGTACACATCTGGTAGAAGTATGTCGCTATAGAGTTCCTCTCTTTGGCAGTTTAATTCCCACTGATTGTGCTTGGCACAATGTTGGTATGAGTTATGGGTTAATTGTCTACTTCTACCTTTGCTTTGAACGCTGCAAAATAGAATCCATAAGAAATACTAGGTTCACTCAGTACTGTTGTGTACTATACAAAACCACACAAGATGAAAAAAGATACTTTACCTTACGAACTAGTGCTTTCCTGAATTCGCTCATCTCACCAACGATCGCTCGCGTGAATTCCATATGATCAACAGCGCCATCACCATTCTGGTCCATGATTAACCACAATGCATTCAAAAGCTGGATTGAACAAACAGCATATCAATACACAATGATTAATTTTTTTTTTATATAAAATCTCACTGATCATCATAGATCCTTTATACCAAAAAGCACTGTATTTTTCATTTAGATGTAGATAAAGAACTGCAGTAGCACAACTCTTTTAGGCAAATCTGTTCAGTACAACCACAACTATATTTTACCTTAGGCTCAACATCTATGTGAAACACCTTCAAAGCACCAATCAGCTCGTCTTTATTGAGAACTCCATCACCTGATTGGTCAAGCTGCTTGAAATGCCGTCCTAGCCCAGTCAAAGTTCGGCACCCACACCTTTTTAATTTACTCTTAATTTGTGCTAGAGACAAAAAGTATATTTGTTTAAATTTCTGAGATGAGGACTTTAAGAGTGTTTTAAATTTTTTTATGCAGTTTTATATATACATATATATTTTCTATTTATAAGCTTTTATGTATGTTATGGCCATTTTTAAAATTAGGTTGAGTGCACTGTTTTAACTTGTTTGGTTTCAAATGAATTTCTGTTATTTTTAATGGACAATTAAAAAGCTATCTTGAATCATGAATTGCTGACTAGAAAAACATTAGCATCATTTAAATTATGTTTTTTTCAAATGATTTTCAATACATCGATCTGTAGGTGGCAGGTCAATTTTTGTGATTATTAAAGTGTAGATGCTTGAAATGTTGATCTCAACAAAATGTTTTATTTATTAAAATGTACATGTGAAGTATTAATTAATATTACAGTACAATAAAGTAAAACATTACATTGAATTCCATGGAGTATTTTCCAGTCCTCAATTTCCTGGAGTAGTACTTCAGGCTTCATATTGGAGTTGTACTCGTCTTTGTCATATGGCATTCTCCCACCACCAAATCTGTTGATGAATCACAAAGAAAATGTTACCTGTAGTACACATACATTCTAAGGTGGGTGATAAATATAAACTTTGATTTGAGGTAGTTCAGTTAATTTTTTTGTGGAAGCAGTTTTGGAACAGCAGTAACTCTTAGGTTTCACTCCCTTGCTATGTATTTTCACTTGTGTCCTTTAGCAAGTAACCACCTGCATTGATTCTCCCTACACCAAAGAAGGAGTATAAAGCAGTGGCAGATTCAAATTTTTTTTTTTTTTTAATGGAGAAAAAAAGAAAATTATATTCAAAATGTATACCAACTAGAGGTGCCATAATCATATTTTTTTCTTATAGACCCACCATCATCGCTGTTCCCCCCCCCAATTCAAATTCTTGTATTCGTCACTGTAAAGGTGTTGCCTGAAATGTGCAGATACAGCAGTAACGCTTAAGCATATGGACCCAATGCTGCTGTATCATTCCCAATACTACCTACATGAATGTTTCCTTCATTTCCATTTCGACATCTGTGATTCTTAGTGTCACCACGTTTTGCTTCCGGATGACCTCTGGTAAGGATGATTGACTGCTAGTCTCAAATGATAAGTTCCCACCCTTAAAAATAGGAGTGATTAAAAATCTATTAAACTTGATTTATTATCATAACAATCATCTTTTCCATACCATTCCCAAATTACTAAAATAGTTTTCATCTACACCATTATCGTCATAATCACTATTATCAACATTTTTATCACAAACATCATCAAAACAAACACCACTTTCACCATGAACATGCATAGTCACCATTATTATCATCATAATCTTCACCATAATTACATAATATAGTCATGATCATCATAATTAGTCATCTTCATAACCTTCACCACAATCATCATCATTTACTAAAAAGTTAGTTTAAAATTAACCACTTACAACCATGAGATCTCTGACGCTATACTTGCGGCCTTTTCGTCGTCCAATCACATGACTGTATGAGCCTCTTTGAATGAAAGGAAGAGCTGAGGTTCGACTTCAATGAAAAGAGAAAAATAACAGTGCAGAATATTACTTGGATTGTGTTCCACAGTCATGGTTAGAATTTGTACGTGTTTATTGTCATTTTGTCTTGGAATGTTAAGTGAATGGAAATTAGGAAACAAAAATCAGGTTATCTAAATTGATCCTTCATTATCAAATAAATCATTTAAATATAAATATGGATATCATACTTTTTACCAAACTGTCTGTATTCATATATAGTCATTGTGTCATCCAACATAAAGTAGAATCCGAACAGCTCCCTCAAGGCGTCGTGACCATTGCGAGATGGCAAACGTAATGTGAAACTCAACCTCTTCGCTAACAGGTTCTCTTTACTGGAGCTATCAGTACATACTCTATTAAAAATCATAACAAATTCAAGATATACTGAAAATTATTGTGATACTCAATATGTTAGTTGTGTGTTATATACACAATATGTTAGTTGTGTGTTTGAGCAGTGCATCCCTAGGTAGGAAGGATCAAACATATTCCTATATCCAGTTTATTAATATTTTGTTATCATTATCTTTTTTTTATAAATTTTATTATCATTATCATTACTATTATCATAATAATAAGGATCATACTGTATTAGTATCATCGTACAATCATCATTTATCATGTAATTATCTCATCATTATTATTATTGTCAACTAACTTTGATTCATGTAATGATCGATTCCGTCCTCTTCTTGTTGATTCTCCATATGGAGTTGCTCTTCCAGATGCCATTCCATCCTGGCTGTTCTGAGATGGATCACTTATAACAGCTCTGAAAGAAATTACCAACAGCATAATATTATCTGATGGCTTCCTCACACAAATTACAACACAATTGAATTGAATTTGTCTTGCGCAGATATACCCAATGCTATGGTAGTGACATTCCTCTGTAAAATCGAATGTGTTAAAGATCATTTCAGTAAATGCTATGGTAGGCTGATAGGAACTTGTCCGATCAGGTCTGATAATGGACTATGTTTAGAGTAATTGCAAGTATACTCATGCTCAGCAGGAGCCTATTTTTGTTAATCCTTACAAATTTTACTTTTTAATCCTATTTTTTTACTCCAATAGTATTTTAGTACAGAAGGAATAGGAATTTATATTATTTACATCATTAAAAATGAAGAATGAAAAAATTAATTAAACTCACCTTGATAGCTGATCTACCATCACCTGCTCGACTATATCTTGTTTCTTTTTTGCTTCTACACTATCCTCCTAAATAATAATAATAATAAACAAATATGAATACAGTTATTCCTCTGGTAAAATTCTGTAGTTTTTTTCACACAATAATTCTCTATTCCTTTTTCCAATGCATGTGCAGATTTTTTTTTTAAACGCATGAGTCTTTAAACATGGATGATCAAGAACCAATTGACTGCTATGGTTCAGTGCACACGTACTGGCTACCACTAGTTCAGTCAACTGAGTCAAGTCAAGCTATGCTGCTCCATAAATTCTCCCACATTTAAGGCTTAGGTAGGCCAGGTTTTTGTGCTGAAATTTAAATTATGGATCCAGGAATTGAAAGGCAGAAAAACATCTTACCATGCACAAGGAATTGATCTCAGCATGATGGAACTAAAAGGCGGGAACACTACCCCTAAAGCTACATGTACATTAGACACGATAACGACATATTGTCGCGTCGTTTATATTCTTCAACACTGAGTGCATTTTTATTGTCGTTGTGTCGTTATCTCTGGTGTCAATATAGCTTTAGTCACAAAATTACCACGTTTATAAATACTTACAGCCTCTAGTTTGCGTTGCTCCTGCTGTTTGCTGTAAGCTTTCCCCCAGCTGGTATTTAGTATATCATAATCATCAGTGGCTTGGTCATTCCTTGAATATCAAACACATTATACAACATAAATGATAATTAGTGGGTGTAACAACAATTATGATAGATTGATCAGATAAAGATTAGAGTTGGGATGTACCATTAAGACATCAAGTTTTCACCTAACACTAACCATTCCTATATGAAATAAATTAGCCTCAAAGCAAACCTTTATAATATATTACTTTCCTCTAAATTTATAGTCCACAAACCATGGCCTATGGCACAATGTTGGGCCGCAAAACATTTTTGGAGGGCTGTGAAGTTGTCCAGGAGAAAAAAAAATCAAACATTTGTTTTTGTAAAAACACTTCATTAATATTGTGCACTTTATTGAAAATGTTGTCACAAATAGAACAAATAATGATGCCAAATCATACAATCATGGAGGTAATTTTATAATCTCTGGTAGTAAATTAAAAAGTTTTTGCTGAATGCTGTTCTAAAATACTGCGGGATCTTATCCTTTACTGAATATCACATATAAATCATGCAAGTTAATTTATGCAAGAGTAGCTAGAACAGACAATTAAGGAAAGGAAATGTGACAGAAGAACTAGTTCTGCTTTAAGAGGGTGGGATAACATGCTATAATCCAAGTTTGCAAAAGAAAATACTGTACGCTGAGCAACATTTTTGGAGCCAATGTCATTATAAAAATCTAGAATTTGGTGGTCAAAACAGAAGCCATGATATTTGTTGCCTTGTAAGAATAAAAGAGATAATTAATTGAATGATTGATTGATTGATTGAATGATTGGTTGATCGATTCAAAGTTGCTTTATTTATTAACTGGTTCACAGTTTCACTGAACAATCTGTCACCAACATAAAGGTAGCTTTGCTATGATGGCTGTCTCATGCAGTCAAAAATGCAAGAAAAAAATTCTTTACTTTTTTTCCTGGATTCCCTCTTGCTGTTTAAAAGTTTCATCCTTCCCCTCAATTTTCTGCTGTTCATTTTTCTCCTGTTCTTTATGAATGCTCTTTGCCTGGTATTGTTGCTTCATTTCATCTTGGTATTGTTGATACTGTTGTTTTTGTTTAGCAGAGGGGGGAGGTAAATTTTCTGGAACAACTTGATCATTCATTTTTACCTAAAAGAAAACCAAGTTGATTATGCTGCCCTCATAAGTTTTGCATTATTTCCACTTTTTTTCCTTGATTCTAACTGGTGTGTCTAAAGGTTCAATCCCAAAAATTGTAAAACAAACGCGATAGAAATTCTGAATATTATGTGTGCAGTGCAATTCTTCATAATAATTTTTAATTCAAAGCCTATAGAAGAATGATCATATACATTGTTATAAAATATAGTGATTAATAATTGACATTAATAATTATATATATTAATATTATATCTTAGTTAACTGTTATTAAAAAATAATTACACACACTTTAATTTGATGGACGAATGAGACAACAAGCAAAAATGCCACTTACTTTGCCTTTATTGTTAACATTTCTGGTTGAGTCCAGTTGTTTACTATGTGACTTGGCACCTCCAGCTTTTGGGGTATGATGCAGAGCAAATGGCGAACACCTAGGTACCGGTGTACCCCAGCTAAAAAAAAAAAACAGAGAGTGAAGAGAGAGAAAAGATGAATTAAACAAGGTCCTCAATACCCCTTCCAGCCTTCCCCAAAAACAGAAATACTTCTAATCTTTGGCTAAAAGATTTGCACAATTATCCAGCTTTTCTAGCCCTCCTACAAACCACTCACACCCCCACCACCCCTGTAAACCACCAGGCCTTTCCCCTTGACCTAACAACACTTCTTAAATAGGAATGATTTTGAATGTATAGCACACCTGACTGTGCTAGAGGTATCAGGTGTATAAAGGTGTTCACTTTGATCCTTGATTGGTTTCTGTAATGTATTGTCGCTATCAACCAGTTTTGTGAGGTTCAGACGTGGGACACTGCATAGAGAAATAAGACAAAATAAATAATTATTGCAACATCAACAAATCTAACATGTATTATATATTTCATTTTAAATATAGCTTATATAAGAACTGTTGTGTATGGGTTACAGTACAATGGGATATTTTTCTCTTTGTCAGTGGATACAGAATTATGCATCATGCATAACATTTCAATGCTCAGACAACTGTTAATCAGTAAGTTATGATTTTGGGAAAAATACCCACAAAATGCATGTTGTGAATATATACATAATAATGTTAGCAAAATAGCGGAAAAATCAAGATATTTATTAAATGCAGTTTATAAAGCTTAACATGATTTAATTTCACCTTGTAGTTGGTGAGATACTTGACTGTTTTAATAAGAAATAATAATGAATAAGTTCATTCATTTAATTATTCGATCAATAATCAACAAACAGTACAGACACAACATTCAAGAAGGAACAAGGACAAAAATTGATGAGAAATACGTTCAAATCTTGCAAAAGGTCTAGGAAAAAGATTAAAGGTTATTAAGGAATATAAAAATCAAAGTTATTTTTTTAATATTCATCAAGGTAGGTTACCTGTCTGGTCTATGTGGTCTCTGGTTGCTATGGGCAACATGTGCAGCTGTGTAACTCTGGTTTGGTTTGTTAGTAACCTAAAGTTTAAAGATAATAAATATACAAATGTTTGAATTATATATAATTAATGTAACTGTACTGTAACCATGGAGGTATAAAATTAGCTGTAACTATTTTCATAGTGACAGATTTGGTCATCCTTAAAATTCTGTTGAAAACATCTTTGGTACGTGTGCGGACTGTTTGAAATACACAACATAAACAAGTACATATTATATAGAAGATAGAGGGAGTGAAGTTGAATAGCTCAGTGGTTAAGATGCTTGCCTTCTGATCCCAGGGTCCTAGGTTCAATTCTCACGACCAAAAAAAAAAACAACTCCACTCCCTAAGCCTCCTATAGAGACTTAGTTGATAAAGCATCATTCTCATCCTGTTTGTGGTGAGAGTACTTGCTGTTGGATGTGAAGGGAGGTAAAAAAAAAAAATTAACCTGATTTCTGCTCTGAGGTCTTCCTGACGGGGGTCTGCCAGCCTGTCTGGGGGCTTCTGGAGTGACATGGACAGAGCTTTCCGATGATGTCTTGGCAGCTGCAGGTTTCCTCGTCTTAGCACTCGATTCCCGCTGATGACGAGGAGTTGTTGTGCCGTGGAGTATAAAATCCATTCTGCTATTAAGAGAATAATAAATTCAGGTTAGATAGGGATAAATATTAAAGTATCTGACACTGACTAAATGATATTTCTAAATAAAGTCATTCTTTTGTATATTATGCTCATACCCATTTTAAAGAAATGCATCAGTATTCATATTGTAGTGTAATTACATCTGCCACCTCATCCATCTTTTTAGCATTTATTCACGAAACAGGACACCTTTATCGTACATATAGCAATTACAAAATTGGATATAAACAATACCATATATGTAGCGACTGCCCAGTTTATTGATATTAATTCCACTACTTAATCAATAATTATATTATAATTATTTATATTATTCATTGATTGGGCAAATATATTATATCAAATTATATGCAAAATTAAATAACCTTTATTTAGGCTTAAAACTATCGATCGGGCTTTGCCTAGACCTACATACAATTAATTCAATTGGAATTGCTTTTCTAACATATTATTCTATGGTAATTGTTAAGAGTGGTCCATGTTGTGAAGTTTTTTAATTGCGCGAAGTATATCTACACCAGCCTAAAACCAATTCTTAATTGGCGGCTATTGTTCTAATCCAATTCATACATAGGCCTAGCTAGCCTAGGCTAGGCTAGGCCTAGTCTCTAGAACAATCAGAATTAAGAACTGGTTTAAAACTGGTCGGGTGTAACAAAATAGCCACACTGTCTATTGTTATCCTCGTCTGGGATAGGACGTTCTCGTCGAATCTCCCCGTACGTCTTTCCGGACCGCGGACGTTTGTTACACCTTCTGTAAGCCTAGGGTCTACGCCTAGGCTTCATATATACGAAAACCGCAAGCGAGGACGCGGTTAGCCAGCCTGAGTGAGCCTTTAGCGGCTCAACTCACGAGTCACATAATGTATTATGATGAGATGGTTCCTAAACAATTTGTCAGATGTTAAATTCGATAATTACATATACGTTTCCTCCCTTTAAAATCGGAATTGCAGTTTCACAAATGACTTGTTATTGTAGCAGTATGACCTTTGAAAATATTACACAGTTACTACGACGAACACAAAATCAATTGTTTATTTTCACTAGGCAATGAGCGGACGACGGAATTTCATTATTGGACTGCCCGTTGTTTGTTCAAACATTCCTCCACATAATATGTGATATGCTGCCCCCAACGTTAAGGTTTTTGAAAACTTTGTAGGCCTAATAGTAACAGTGTGTAGTCAAAGGGTAGGAAAGCATAAACCATAATGTCATTGATTTTCAGGTCGTATCCAGAATAAATCTGTAATTGATAAAACCACACATGAAAGAATTAACTGAAATTCATGCTTGATATGAAAAATAAGCTTTATTTTTGAAAAAGTAGGGATCAATGATCACTATCGATTTAGGAACTCCACACGCTGTGGTTCCAGAAAGGCAGAATCTATAATTTTAGGCTCGGCTTTAATCACAGTTAATAACGAAATACATTTTCATTACTTCAAAAAAACAATACACCTTAAAATGTACATGTTCGTACTGTACATTTGTATAAAACATGAACGTCATTATTTTTTATCTTGTTTTTCTTTGGAATAACAAAAATATATTATAGGCCTGTTCAATGCCATAGCCTATGATGAGACGTTGTCGCCAAGATAGAAAGCTCCTTAATATCATATTTCAGTCATTCATAACAGTTTTTGGATAGTATACATGTCCTCTACGATAGTATTGTGTGGTCCTCTGCAGACATAATGCATGAAATATCAAGTAGATAATATGTTTTGCATGACTTGTTCGACCATAATGACAGCTTGGTTCATGATTTATCTTTTTCTATCAATGAGCTTCTTAGAAACGTAACCTTGTCAGAATCGTCATTCTTTATTTTATTTATTTTGTTTTAACACTTGTTCAGTTCTAGTACTTCCTCATCCGCAGTTTAATTAATTTGACCAATCAGAACGTGTTATTCAATAGCAAGGAATACGCGCATATCCCACAAAACACTTTTCAACGCTGTCGTAGGACATCAGCAACAATGTCAGGGGACGGTCCATTTTTCACTAATAATCCTTTTCTTTGTAACCAGTCACTAAATGGCCGGACTTGAATGATCATGATTTGTGTCTCAAAATCGTGCACTGTTCTTCATGGGTTAGGAGTGAATTCACATAAGTGAAAATCAATAGCGCAACATATTTCCAATCAGTTTATGTATACTCTATTAACAAATTCTGAAAAAAATAATAACAAAACAAATGTCATTACAGGATTATGAATACCGTATTTATTCGAATAAACTCCCCCTCAGGGCCTCATTTTGTAATAAACGTTTTCTCGAATAAACGCCATCCAAATGAGTGTGAACAAATCTAATGGAAGCAACATTATTCTCAACAAATTCAATTAATGTTCTACTCCAGTAGAATTACATTCTTTTTAACCTCGTGTTGGGATCAATAATTCTGTATGACCTCGCAATAACACATTTTGGCGGTATGTGTATAATTCTGCGAATAAACGCCTCCCTTGAATAACCGTTAGTTAATGCAGATCATTGATCATTTTTAGATTTAATGTTTAATTGTGATTAAATATGTTTTTAAAATAAAAAAACAAACATACCTGTGTACTGCGTGGCCTTTGGTAAAGAACCGATTGTGCCAAGTTATAAACATGTTACTGGCCTAAAAAAGGAACAAAAAGGTATGAGGAAGAAGAAGATGTAGAAATAGATTCAGATTTACTGGATGGTGAGGAAGTTGAAGCAACAGTGACATTAGAGGAGGAACTTGACTGAAGAGAGATGCATGAAGTACTAGCAGTTGGCGCCCTCCGTGACAGGGCTGCAACGAGCTTAGATATATTCGACATCTTGCCTGCCTGTAAGATAAAAATAATCCATAAAATTCGTGTTTTTTAATTAACTTTTAATGAAATGCACAAAGCAACATGGAACATATACAATAATGGATAGATTACAGTATGCATCACTTGCACACTTGACGGTACCTTGTTTTGCTTAGCTTTCTGTTGAAGTTCTTGCTTTGCGTTGTACTGCTTTTTTAAACAACTCTTATAGAGACAAGTTTGTTCTTGGCCATGCATTCGAGCTATTCGCTATAAGACAACGTAGAATAATTAAATAATTATTAATTTAATGTTTTCATGTGTCATGTGGGTTACTGATAAATTAGTGTTGTTCTTTTTGAGTTTTAAGAAATGACTACAAAATTTACCTTGTAAACGTGTGCTCTGTTACTTAGATACCGAATTGCTTCTACAATTAAAGAGGAATTGATATTTAATAGGCCTAAATATAATTTCATCAATAATTACAGCATTACATTATAAATGATAACTTTAACCGTCGACATTATGGTAATAAATTGTAGAAATAATGAATCCTAACAAAATGGTGTGTGTTCCATTTATAACTGATCTTAATCATGGTTCCTTACTCTAGTCTATTTCATTTCCAAAGGTAGTTAATTTGAAACTAACTAATGTAAATGAAATTCAGGGTTTTTTCTGCTCTTTCATAGACCTTTGTCTACATCGATATTCATTAAATATTTTTATTTTTTGTAAATTCTAATTCTTTGTATACGGTACTCTTTAAAATGACTCAGTATTGTATACCTCTTCTTAGCTGGCGCGTACTTGTCAGGTACACTTTACCGAAAATCTACAAAATAAGCAAAAACAATTAGTTATAAACATGTTAGTTGGACGGCGAAACTCGATTAATAGTATCTTCTGGGCCTGTTTTATTTATTTTCTTAAATCACCTCAACTTTATAATTATACATTACTGCGGTGTTTTCTTTCTTCAATTTTTTTTAATTAGGCCTAAATGCTATAGTTTGGGGCTTCCATTGTATAGATACTTTGTTCCTTCTTGGGTTTACCCTCCTGGGCCGGATGCAGGGGTGTAGACGGTGCGATCGCACCCCCTAGATTGTATGAAGAAAAATAATTGTTGTATTGTTGATATGAATTACCGGTAAGATTTTTAAGGTGCGAGAGTGCAATTTCCGGGCACCTAGTGGTCCATATTTTCAAAATATTCGCACCTCAGCCGGCCCTAGCCATGGTGGGGCTGAGGTGTGATGTGGGCTCTCCCGCATCCCCTTCCACCAAATCTTGCATCCGCCCCAGCCCTCCTCTACTTCGTTAAAATGTTTGAAAAAGTATATAATGGACCCTTCCAGAGTGTCCAACCAACTTAAAAAGTTACTAATCAGAACAGACACGTTTACGTTGTTGTTTTGTGCGCGCGATGAGGTTTAGCGGAACTGTCCATTCATGTTACAAATTTGACTTACCACATCTGAATTATCAATTAGCATCTCAATAATTCCGTTCCATCGATTGATCAACGACTTTGCTTCCAAATCCGGCATATCACTAAAAAAAAAAAGAGACATGCGCACAGGAATAAGATGACGTATTCTACACGTAACAAAATTAAATGGAGTAGTTCTTCCGTCAATGCAACTTTAACACAATTTATTCAATTCACGTAAGAAAATGAAATAGATTAGTTCTTCCGTCAATGCTACTTTAAAACAATTTATCCAAATTGATGCACTGTGGATTTGTATTGTTATTATTATATACTTATGCCTACATTTCTTCGATGAAACACGGTCCGAAAGCAATCCCAAGATCCTTAGCGGCCATTCCTTTAACACGCTGTTTTTGGTGGAGTGTTAGTCTGAGGGCAAAGGAGGATGAATATTTAATGACAATAATAAAAAAATTTTATGCAAAAATACAAATTACCATAGGCCTACTTATTGGGGTTTTTTTCAAAGCCATGTTTCATCCACCTGCGCACTAACAGTATCTTTATCGACAAGGACAACCAGTCGAACAGAAGTTGAAAAAATAAGACAACGTTTCTGGTATCGGTACTTACTTTTTCAGATGCATAATTAATAACTTTAAGATGCTGAAGTTTTCGTACGGCATACGGTAGATTGCTGCTTTCAAAACTGTTAACAGCTGATCGCTCAAGGCGCTGTCTTGGCCATTAATGTGCCAGTGAAGTTTAATGATGTTGTGAAGTTCTGCAGCAGCATCAGTTGGTATAATTTGCGCCTGTATGCAAATGAGACATTCAATTTAAAAAATATAATTCTGTACTTTACATAATAGGATAATTTTCTTAACATTATTTTGACGGACGTTTAAATATCATCATAGTCTTTGTATACAAGATGTTTTGATATAGATGTTTAGTAACTGTTAATTCAGGCGCTATGATGCAGATTTTATGAATGCGCATTCTCACTAATATTAATCCAATCAGCATCTGTATTCACCTGTTTCAGCAAACGCTTGATTGCGCTGGAGATGGTCTCGGGATAGTGAAAACTCAATTTGACCTCCGAGTTGTTTTTTAACAGTGCCTTGTATAGTTTCTCGACACGTTTAGCTTTGCCGTTGACACGATAAAGATTGTAGTGGTCGAGATAGCTGCGCTCTATCTCACCGATTAATTTCAGGAGGAGCATATAATACTCAGAAACATCCTATCAAAAGATTAGTAAACATGAGCAATCAACAATTAGTAGTAACAATAGCAGTAGCAGCAGAAGTAGTAGAAATATGAGTAGTAGTAGTAGTAGTAGTAGCAGCAGCAGCAGCAACAACAACAGTAGCAGCAGCTTGCAGTAGTCAGTAGTAGTAGTGGTGGTGGTGATGGTGGTGGTGGTGGTGGTGGTGGTGGTGTAGTAGTATTAGTAGTAGTAGCAGCAGCAGTAGCAGTAGTGATAGTATCAGCAGCAGCAGCAGCAGTAGTAGTAGTAGTAGTAGCGGCGGTAGTGGGAGTAGTGGTGGTGGTAGTGGTAGTAGTGGTGGTGGTGGTGGTGGTGGTGGTAGTGGTAGTGGTGGTAATGGTGGTAGTAGTAGTGGTAGTATTTGTTTATTCAGTATTGTAATACAATAGAAGTAGACTATATCAGGTACTACCAAGCCGAAAGATAGAAAACTAAGCGTTTGTTATTAAATATAATGTTTAGATATTAGACAGCGTCTGAAATTAAATTAACATTTAGATACATTTTTATTTTGCTTTCGTTGCTACTAACATCTTTCTAACAAAAATAAAAATACATCAAATACAAGAATGTTTCATTGAAATACCTGAGTTTTTGGTTCTTGAGGGCGACTAAAACAACCTATTAAATAAATACACACAATAAAGATCCAACGTTAATTAATAGACGTTAACAAATAAAAACTGTTCAGTCTCCCACTTCCTAAGCTTGGTTTGAGGTTCAATGGGTTATAACTACCCCAGCGTATTTCTTGGCTCAAAGCGCGGACTCGGGCGCTAATGCTTATCACTCTTGCGCAGACAATCATTCGCTTTGTGCTGTAACTGCAATGAATTTTGTAAATAATAGTACAATCTGTCTCTTATACACATCTAGATGTGTATAAGAGACAGTAGCGGAACTGTCCATTCATGTTACAAATTTGACTTACCACATCTGAATTATCAATTAGCATCTCAATAATTCCGTTCCATCGATTGATCAACGACTTTGCTTCCAAATCCGGCATTTACACGCAACCCGGGTAACCACACGCAACCAAGGAAACCATAATGGTTACCAGGGTTGCAACCAATTCGAATACGCAATGGTTGCTGTGCATGCATGGAAACAGGCAAGCAATTACTGCAAACACAAACTAGCTTCCTTCTAGACAAGATTATTTCAAGTTAAATAACGTGCGCTTTTCTTATTCCAGTCCATCGCGTTATATAGCGTTAATATTGTTTTCATTTAATATATTGTTTTTATTTTATTTTTTTATATTTATCCGATAATTAGCCAATGATAAAGAGAACCATTTTCATCTCAATTTTTAGTAGAAACTCACCTTATAGAATCCCTATATTAAAGACCAGCACTAAATGTGGTCTTTATTTAGAGGGAAATTAAGAAATGAAACATTAAATTGTTTAGAATGGATGTACAGTTACTGCATGCAGTTATTTATTCGTAATAAGAAAAATCTTTGATAACCAACATTCCATTGAAATATTACTAACATCGCCACTAACATTATCGCTACTCATATCAATATCAATATACACAAAACACACACAAATCATCATCTTACAGTATGTTTCGCATGGCTAATATTGGTATGTTTAAGCCCTATAAAAACAATTATTATAGAAAAAAAACCCGTCACTATTTATTTTATAGTGGTCTTTAATTCGAAAGAAATTGTCACTTGGGTCCACCAAAACCATTGTTTTTGGTCTCTAAATAGACGAAGTCTTTAATCGGTGGGAACAGCTAATGTTAAAAGATAGGAATGCGAACGGGGCCACAGGAAAGTCTTTAATGCTTTAATTGAAGGGTCTTAAATATAGGGAGACCTGTATTAATTATCAATCGACATGGAATTTTATTGGCTTTCGATCTACATAAAAATGAGTTTAATTGGACAAAGTTTCTAACTGGCACGCCCCTTTTATGTGAAATTGACTAATGAGGAAGGAGCTTTGAAAGGCTATTCTTTCGAAGACAGCTCCTTCTTTGACTTCGGGGTCTTTCAGTCAGATGTGCGTGTCAGGTAATTTGTGACATTTTGCCTTTTTTAAACATATTTTGCATATTTAAGTTATATTAATGGTACGCTGACATAGTTGTTGTGCTTCTCATCGATGTATTAACTCAAATCGGTGTACTATATTAATGAATTCATAATTAAAGTATAATTTAGGCAATTATCAATTGTCTGTCGGCGCAATTAACTTAAAGTATTATTATTATTATTATTATTATTATTATTAACATAGGCTAGGACTAGTGGTCATTTTTTATTAATTAATTCATAATTAAAATATAATTTAGGCAATTATCAATTGTCTGTCGGCGCAATTAACTTAAAGTATTATTATTATTATTATTATTATTATTATTATTATTATTATTATTATTATTATTATTAACATAGACTAGGACTAGTGGTCATTTTTTCCGGGCGCCTGTTGAGTTCCCTAGGTTAGCTGCCAACTAGGGAACAAATAGTTTATAGAAGTTAGAGAAGTAAATGCGAAGGTCGTATACGATCGACATTCTTTAAAAATTCTTCAAAATTCGGGGTAGCCATATCATAAAGTAAATAGTAAGTTACAATAGGCCCATGCCTTACATCCATTATACTAGAATATACGGTTGATATTGGCAGTTGTCATGTACAACCCATATGGAGAATGTTCCAAAACTGTTAATAGGGAGCTTCAGATTTTTGCGACGACGCAACGGTAGAACGGAATCACTCATGCGTGACCGTTCTACCTGGCGTCCTACCTTCTCTGCATACGTAGATTTGGCCAATTGCGTTCCAGAATTACTGGACGAGGTGACCTTAACGTTCTCGCATGTGCAGATGACTTTTAGTTACGTCATTACGTTCTACGTCGTACCGTCGTCGTGCAATGGAAAGCTCCCTATTGAAAACTCATTGCCTTACGTTAAAAAGGTCGCCGCGCATAAGCCATTCACGCACAGCGAATAAATTATATTGTTGTTCAGACAAGCCAACACATATAAGTGAGTAAGTAAAGCGCATAATCGCGGCGTCAATCCCATTCTTTCACGGACAATTATTTGAAATTTTGTAAATAGGAGTAATTTTTTCTAAATTAGAAGTACATTACATGTTTTCCTACCTGTGGCCCAACTCCGAAAATTGAAAATCATATTATTCGATCTGCGAAAAAACGCCATTGAAAGTGAACTTTTGAAAAAATTTTGATAAGAGAATTCCCCGTTGACTGGTTGCCTTTTTGGAAATGAAACTGGTTTGTGTTTGACGTCGTTGTTAAGGTGTACCCATGCGCAACAATGAACCACTGCGTATTAAAACTTAAAGAGCAATACACGTATTTGTGCGCATTTGTTCGCGTACACGCAACCCAGGTAACATCATGGCAACATTGAGGGTTACCTGGGTTGCGTGTACGCGATGAAAATGCGCGCACGTTCGCGTACACGACGCATCAAGGTAACCATATTTACGATGGTTACCTGGGTTGCGTGTACGCAAAAAATGTGCACAACTGCGCGTTATCGTTTTTGTTTAGGGGGCCTGATCATGTGGTCTAGTCCTACTCAGGATATTATCATCTAAAAACAGGTGGAAAGAGGCTATAGAGTGATCCTTTAGTGTTACACAAGTCTAAATAACCGTATTTCGGATCTCTTGCACAACAGGATGACACAATATCTTTGAAAAGTTCAAAAAAGAGCTGATAGAAAATTTGCAAAAGCGCTATAGGCGTCATATTTGGCGGATACCGACGCTATATAAATGACCATTTATAATTATCTGCCCTAATTTTGCGATTAAAGATATTTTGTATCTCGATAATAACTATTATCTGTATAGCAACCCGCAAAACTGAATATAATGTATAATATCAGAGAGAAGTTAAACACTTAAAGCGCCCTAACGATAACCTAGAACCATTAGATGGTTTTGATTTGTAACTCTCCATCAAGTCCTAAATGGCTATCATTCGCATATTGTATAACCTAATCAAAATACGCAGTAGACCTTATATGAACAAGTTTACCGATTTTCTTTCATCAAAAACGTGAAATTATCCCCTAATATGGGTTTTTGCCATGTTTTCATACAACGACATACATTCTTTATAATTTTATTTTTATTGACATAAGAATTGGAGTTACAGTTAAATTAGAACTAATTTATAGCAATAATTTTAATGCAAATACAATTCGTTTATAATATAAAATCACAGAAATGTAATTAAAATAACAATTGTTTGTTATAGCCTTTTAGAAATGTTATGGTGTGGATTAGAATCCTATATGAAAGTACATGAAAAACAAAGTTATAGGAAATCGCTTTGGTTAAGGGTAAAAAGTAGTTTATGTGAGGGAAGAGAATTTCGGTTTGACGTTAAGTTTATTCCTCAAAAGGTGCCAAAATATAAATAATAAATGAATGATTTTTTCTTATTTTGGGACTGCTGTATTTGTATATGTGATACAATGAAAAAACAATTAGTGTCTCCCGGATAGGGGTTAAATAGGCCTATGTATTGATTGACCATTTGCCCTTAATACGGGTGTCCCCTTAACACGGGTGTCCGTAGTGTTAAAAGATATATTTCCCCTCGTTTCACGGAAAAGTGAACCCTAATTCCGGGGGTGTCCCCTGGATAGGGGTGTCCCAAAGGAGGGGTTCTACTGTATAGAGGTACGCTACGCACCACTCTGTGCCCGATAATGTATATCAGTTGTCATAAGCAAATAAGTAAGTCCTATGTCTAAATGTCAACGTTCCTGCAGAATTGTTCTAAGTAAATATTGCACGTCATCAGATAATACCCATTAGGTCAACAGGTCGTTTACGATTATTTGTATCGAAGCTTGTAAACAGATTTCATTAAATCATGTTATAGTACAAATCAAAAGACAGGCAAATGCTGTAGAGTAGAGAGTCAAGTACACTTAAAGGAAGTCCATTACAGCGGTATCCATTAAGGTCCAAACGATTAGTTTAGATTCGCGTTAATATCTTTGTCTTGCATGCATTTGCTTTAACAAATCACCTCGTCAGAAAGCTATTCTATATTAGAAAACGCTGATTATAACATCTCGATTGGTCTTTGTATGCGTTGTTGTCGTGTTCGAGGGCAAAAGGGATGGAAAGTGAACTAGACGACGTATATAATATACCTGAACTACTCTTGGCGGCGAAAAATGCAGACGTCGGCCGGTTCAAACAACTTCTCAATAACGGCGCCGATGTGTTGCTCAAAGATAAAGTAGGTTATTTTTTTTAAATATTTTATTAATTTTGGTTTTTATATTTGAAAAAGGTACCGTAGTCTTTTAGTGAGTTAATAATAATATAGGTATAATAATAATGATAATATCTCAGTATCACGTTGAGATTATAGCCATTATTAATATACAGTAGACTTATTATTATTATTATTCCTGTTATTGTATTATAGATTATAACAATTATATTGTTATTATTGTCAATAGATTTTAGAATAATTATGTTATTATTATTATTATTATTATTATTTATTATTGTCTACTTCATTCATGTATTTTGGCAATACAGTAAAAACAGCAATTAATATCGCAGGCATTACTGACTCAACGCAAACAACGTGTTTAGTTGCTAGTACTACAGTAATTATATCTGAAGAGTTTATATAGACCTACTCTCATAAAAACCAGGGCCTGGGTGTTACCGGTGTATCACGGGATGATACCAGCACGATTAAAGACACTTTATTGAGTGGGTCCAATATTCACCAGTAAATTGAAAATAGGGCATTATACGGCTAATCAGCGTAATGTGCTCGAGCATTAAGTAGGCCTATACATACTAGACGTGTGGCCTTTATTTATTATATACATACTATTTTAAAAGTTACAATACAGTAAATTGTTCAGGTTTCCTATGAACTCCCAAACAACCACTAGTCCTAATACCTGAAGGCCTACAACTACACTGTAACGCTGAACTCAGGACAGTCATAAAAGTATTGATATACACCCATTATGGTTATTATTAATTGACTTGGGCCCTATTTATGAATCTTAATTATGGAAGTATACCAATTGTGTCTCACCATCTTTTGATGGCCCCCCGTCGGGGAGAAAAAGCTCAATTCGTCGGGGAGGAAAAAAAATTATATGTATTTTCTACATATTAGTAGACTCTAAAATCGATTAAATAAGCCTTTGAAACCCCTAAATTGTCAAAATTTTCGGGGGCTTCGCCCCCGTGACCACTTTCGAAACTTTTTAATCGAAGCTCGACCACGCCCACTTTGTTTTCGTCGGGGAAATCTGACCCCTCGTCGGGGCATCGGCCCCCCTCCCGTCGGGGACCTCGGCCACCCCGTCGGGCAAATCCTGGCGCCACCCCTGGGTAGAACATACGCCTACCACAATGCCATTTAAATAGTGTTATTATATAACTGATCTCAAATTAAAATAATTTCCATTTATCGTGCCGCCAAACCACCTATCGTTCTCTAGAAGCAAGAGAGCGATCGAAACCCCTTACATACAAGATTATCAGATCAATAGGCCACACCATGTGCCAATTAAATAGTGAAGTTTTATTTTTGTGAATGGGCTTATTATGCAAGCAAAAAAAAAATCTTTCCAAAATTTGGTTCTTGTACTATTAGACTTCGGAATATACACTAATCTGCATTCATTACAACGCTCAATCCTTGAACCTTCAATGGACGTTGGTCTCATTAAGCCCTCTGTTTCTATCGGAACCGTGCTCTTCACCAGAAGCACCCCGGTTTATAGTTTGTTCTTTGATCTGCCGCGTTTGATAATAAAGCAGGTATGCAAACATGTAAATCATATTTATGAGTCGACGTGTTTGGCAATGATACAAATAGCGTAACAAGTATTACGTCACGCTTTATTATTAGTAACAGAAAAAGCAATTTTAAAGTTAAACGCACAAGCGTGGTGTCGACGTGATTGGAAGAAGACAAAGGCTTACATAACTTTGTGTTAATCTTCCCTAAATTATGATTCCTAATACAACGTATGTAGCATGTAAGCACAGATAGAAGATTAATGAAAGAATGTGGATAAAAAACAACGAAGCTAAACAGCAAAAGTTCCTTCACTCCCATTTGGGGCTTTTTTTTACACTCCACAATTCCTCTTCTTTAACGCTCAAAATGTAATTTATAATTATAGAATTACCACAAGACGGTGTAGGCGTAGAGTTTATATTTTTTATTGTTCCGTGATTGAATAAAAAATATACTCATTTCAGAGAATCATTCTTCTTCAAATAGGCCTACTTATGAGGGTGTAGTCGAGAACTAGTACTGTTCAAATACGCCTGCATAGCAGTGTGAAATATCAGTTGCTTTAATCAGATTTTAACTCCAGCAGCAAAGCCTCAATGGCCCAGTTGGTTAAGGCGTCTGCATACCGCAGAAGGTCTCGGGTTTGCCAGTTTGGGCGACTTTTTTTATCACTCGCCGATTCCTTCTTTAATGTTAAGAATATGTATATAGGCCTAACCGTGGAACAGTTAATTTATTTCTTATGTGTACCATGATTGATATATATTTTAAAACTCGTGTGTTATAGAACGAGCGCACGGTACTACATTGGGCGGCACACAGTGGCAATGTTCCCATTATGTTGGCGGGTGTTTCAAAAGGTCTCCTTTGGCACATCAACGCCAAGAGTAAGGTAGGCATTTTTTATTGTTATTTTTAATTTACTAACAAGTGCTATAATGAAAATATTGTAAGTTGTAGATACAATAATACTTACAGTTAATATATGATATACATAATATGATATGAATAACTATAGGCCTAATAATAATGATAACGATAAGTATATTGACAATGGTAAAGACACTTTCATCTGCAGCGTGGACTAACTCCTCTTCATGAAGCCTGTTTAGCTGGTCATCGTAAATGTGTATACTTATTACTGTCACTTGGTGCTGACATCAAAATACAAACAATGGTATGTGTTTTAAGTTACAGTGAAGCTTAGTTTCCTTACAATCGATACACGATATCGCCGACACCTTTCGGTGAAGCTCGGTTTCCATGGAATCGCTCACTCTATCGGCGAAAAGTTGTCGAAAAGGTTGAACCTCGTTCAACTTTTACAGTTTCGTTGCAGAATCAGGGTCCATTGCTAGCTGCCCTTATGTAATCGGGAAGGCACGCCGATCGCGATTCGTTTTCAACGCAATCGGCAAAAGTCGAACCAGGTTCAACCTTCCCAACCACTGTTGGCGATTGTCGCAGATAGGGTGTGACCGATTCTTTGGACCTATCAGCTAAGCCTCTTCCCTTGAGCATTGTTGCTTAGGACCCACACATATAAATGTAAACGCGTGTGTTTTGGGACATACGCGTATCCCCGGCTATTGAATAACAAGTTCCTATTATTTGATATGTTACGTTTGATTAGCACTCCGAAAAGGTCCATTTAGACGAGTTAGCAACGCTACTAGACATAGGCTAGCATTACTTTGACAACGCGTCTGAAAGACCTAATTTCAATGTGGCACACATCTCGATACGAACAATGCTATGTACGCATCTCAGCCACTAACAGGATGAGAAGCTCGGGATCATATAAAGATGAAAGGAGGCTGAACAAATTTATTTCGAACCTAAATCTAGAGTGCAATATAAACCAGAAGACACATTGTGCGTAAAATGCATGTCAGCCTATTTTTCACCAAATACGTTATGTTTGGAGACAATGATAACCTTATATGAGGAATGCATCAGCAAGTGTTCCGTGGTGCCAAGCGTGATTATACCTCTGTAACGTGATTTTTTCAATTCACAATCATACAGGAAGGATATACATCACTAATGTGCGCCGCTGGGAATGGAAACGAAGATACAACGAGCATTCTTGTCGGTGCCGGTTGTGATGGAAATGAAGTTATAAAGGTAATCACATTTTTTAGTAGCGGAACGCCCCTACCTACTCATGACATAGTAGCAAAACTGCAATAATCTGATTATATAGTACCCGAACAGTTTACCTAAACCCAGTTTGCTGAATTCCAGATTGCCGAAACCTATTTTGCCGAATGTCATTTTACCGACCCAAAATTATGAAAACCCGGTTTGTCGAAACCAACGTGTCGAATTTTCATATTCGTCAAACTTGGTTTCGGCAAAGTAGACTCGGCAATCTGGGGTTCGGCAAACTGGCCTAGATCCGATTAAATGTGCATACTGCACGGTAGTAGTGGGCCTTACACCCTGAGAATGTACAATTGTTGTCTCAGGTACACCGTGAACCGTAGCTCACATCATAATAATTTTGGTATAATGGATTTGATAGATAGAAATGTTGTATTTCCTTAGCCGATTGGAGTCAATGCTCTACATATAGCTTCATGGACAGGGCACGAAGATGTCATAAAAGTATTATTAAAACTTGGATGTGATCCCGAGGTCAAAAGTCAGGTAAACAAATTTCTTATCGTTATGCTTTCAGATTTCACTGCGCAAACTTGTGGCGAACCTCTTTTCACTTGTTTCCCCCAAGTAATATAATAATACAGTCCTAATGTAATGGTGTTAATGATTTCAGATGGGTAAAACGGCCATGGAATACGCAATTGAACAGCGCCACACGTCTTGTATGGAAGTTTTAAGGAATCACATAAAAAAGGTAGGTTAAAAAAGTTGATTGATACACGAATGTAACATACATACATGTCTCATACGATTGCAATATAATTTAAGATCAATTATAATACCGAAACTATATAGGCCTAGTATTCAAGTTACTATTCAGCAGAATATTGATAGGTCACGTCACGTTTGAGCAATCCAGTCCAGTAGGCCTACGGTTATATTTCATTTATATGTAATTGTTATGGATTAAATGAAATCAGATGAATTATAATGTATATAAGATTATTCATTTCCATCTATTCAGACAGAAGAAAAGAGCAAAACAGATACCAAGTTGTTCGACTCAAAAATGCACCGTATGAAAAAGAAAGTGATTCAGTACTATGAAGAGAAACTTCAAGAAGAGATCACATACTTTGAGCAACAGCTACAAGCGCAGCATTGCAAGGATTTAGGTGTCATTATGAAGATGACAACGGAACTTGAACGCGTTTATACTCTGCTAAACGCGAGCACAAATAAAACCGAAAAAGAATACAAGCCACTTCTTGACGTTGGGAAAATGCCGACCTCAGTCGCGCAGCGAGCACTATCGAGGACGTCTATGATAACACGAAGTTCTTCAATGGACATGCAGGCAGCATCGAGGAACGGGTATTATTCTAGTGACTACGACGACGATGAGGAAAATGATCCTCTAAATGACGACGAAATATCACCTGAACCTAGTCCGACATCACGCTCCGCAACGCCAACATCACGTAATAGACGTAATAAAGATACAAGTATAACTCAACTGGTTGAAGAAGCTGCGCAGCGTAAAGACAGTGTGAACATCCTACGCAAACAAAACTCGTCGGATTCTGATTACAACTCGCTACCCGTGTCCCCGCGAGATAATGTCACCAAGAAAGGGTTGGCTATTCCGACAAGGATCGCTTCACCGACCCCGCCACGCCGGCAACGACACGCGTCCACTCCAGCCCCGCCGAGAACATCGCCGCGTTCACCACTGACTCCCCACCCACCTGGACCTCTGTCCCCCATTAACCGCCAACCTTCACCAAGATCCCCAAAACCGAGAACTCGTAGAAAAAGTAGTGGATTATTTATCAGAAGACAGTCTCTGTTGGAAGAGTCTGCAGACGAAGAAGAGAAAAGTAGGAGGAAGAGCGTCGCAGTGCGCATGACAGCATCAGCACAACCGAGAGATAAAGAGCCTCAAAAGAAAAAAGGAAATTTTCTGCTTAATCTACCTCTTCCAAACTTTTTTAACTCAGAACGTAATGAAATGAATGACGGGTCTATAACCACGAAGAAGGAATGATGAATCAGATGTGAGAAATGATGATACTTACCATCGACTAGGCAAAGTAACGAGAGTACTGCTTGGAACAATCATGTTTAACTAAGGTGGTTTAGCTAAGTCGGCAGACTAACAAAACAGAAATGTGCCGATTTAATTCTCGCAGCAGACCATATTTTATTTGCTTCGCCTTATTTACTGTATAAAATGAGAAAATAAGCGGGCGGCGCATATAATTTATAGATTTCAATGCGGCAGTTAGCCTATTCTCGAGAGTATTATGCTTAATTTCCATAAAATCGCTACACGCAATCGCAGGCAGATTTCGCTGGTTAGTCAGTCAAAAATAGGGAATTCCTCGCAACTGCGTCGGGGCCAGCTTCGCATTGCAACTCTACTGCAGTGAAACACTGGAGCCGCCGATAGTGTAGAAAGCAGACTTTGAAATTATTGGAGTTTTAAAACGTTAGAATTAGTTTTTTCGGTCCATCTGACTTGTTTAACGTTTAATAGTTTTGTCAATTTTGTTAGAAATAGTTTTATGATAATACGAACATCAAATCAAAGTTGCAATAGTACTCCGGATTAAGTACGATGACATTTATTTTAAAAAGTATATCTCTAATAAATGCCAGCTCTCATTTGAGAGGCACCAAGAAAAAAAATCACTTTTGCGGCGCTTATTCGAGATAGGCGATCAGTGGTGGATCCCGGAAATTTGCCAACATGGGGTCCGACAGGGGTTCTCAAACAAGGGGCCGACTAGAGAGCCTTGGCCAGGGTCCCGGAATAAAAATTATGGGTTCATGGGGAGATATTTTTTTAAGGCTTAGTGTAGCACAAATTGTGCTTTTAGACCATAATGCTAGGAATTAGCAATCAAAATTAACGTTATACCATAAAACCTCGAATAGAAGCTCAATGAGCTTAATCTCGAGAAGCCAATCTCGAATGGAAGCCCCCCCCCCCACACCCTATTTTTTTTAACATCAAATCAAAGTTGCAATAGTACTCCGGATTAAGTACGATGACATTTATTTTAAAAAGTATATCTCTAATAAATGCCAGCTCTCATTTGAGAGGCACCAAGAAAAAAAATCACTTTTGCGGCGCTTATTCGAGATAGGCGATCAGTGGTGGATCCCGGAAATTTGCCAACATGGGGTCCGACAGGGGTTCTCAAACAAGGGGCCGACTAGAGAGCCTTGGCCAGGGTCCCGGAATAAAAATTATGGGTTCATGGGGAGATATTTTTTTAAGGCTTAGTGTAGCACAAATTGTGCTTTTAGACCATAATGCTAGGAATTAGCAATCAAAATTAACGTTATACCATAAAACCTCGAATAGAAGCTCAATGAGCTTAATCTCGAGAAGCCAATCTCGAATGGAAGCCCCCCCCCCCACACCCTCTTTTTTGCAAAAGTAGCCTCGAAAAGAATCCTATCTCGAAAAGAAGACCATGTGCTTCGTTAGTACAGTACCGTACATACACTGTACATAAATTTTAAGGAAGCAAAATGAATTTTAAAACACACTTGGTTTATACAGTAGTTTAGATGATTTAATGCCGGTTAATACACTCCATGATACAGATGGATGTTTCAGTGGCCTTATTTATTTTTTTATAGTAGTAATTTCCAAAATTTACAGCATTTATTTCGAAAAAAAGCCCCCGTCTTTACTTTGCAAAAGTAGCCTCGAAAAGAAGCCCATCTCGACCTTGACGTGGCGTCGGACGACGGGGTGGGGGTGGGGCTATGCCTGTCCGATGAGGAAAATGCCCTCCCTGACGCCACCTCCCGCTGGCAATACCACTGGTGGCGATTCTTAGTTCAATTAGGTAATGTAATTTTCTTTCCTTTGTAAACACAGTAAGTTGGAGTTTGGAGAAAACTGAACAAAAAACTGTGTTAATTTATTTCCTAATTTTCTACTAGATTACATGAGATCCCTCTCGGTGCATGAAGGCATACCTGAAATTCGTTAGTTCAATCTATATAGTTGCTCATTTTAAAAATTCCTCTAATTATGTAGGCCTACTGCTTTCTAGATTAGAAAAAAATTATCTAGTTCCAAGTGCAAAATGTTATGCGTTAAAGTTTGCCTGCTCATGCGTTGAGCGTAATTTTGTGTAACCTTTTCCTACTACAGTTATTGTATTTATAATATAATGATTAAATTTTAGACATCAATTTCTCATTCAATATTAGCTGTATTAATCCATTGGATTTCGGTTTAGAAGCCTTTTTCGACGATATTGATGAAAGTAAACATTTATATTACAGGATCATTTACAATATGAAGCCAGGCCCAAATACCAGATGTTTTCGTCAGGACCTGTCCAGACTAAAAAATTCAATTTGACAAAAAGTTGTGACATGCCTTAATATGGTCACGATGACATCACATCATGACTATATGGACATACGTTTTATGTAAAAGAAAATCTGATAATCTGGACAGCACTTAACTTAATGTTTGATCAGATTTTGAGAATTTGTTTCTGGTTTGATAAGTGTATGGTTGTAACACACATGGAGAATATAGATTACAATATAGATATCTGGTACTGAGTTGAGGATGGGCACAATCGGCATTTGTTTAAATTGTGCAATTTCACTGGCTATTAGGGAAGTTCGCAAGCTATGTCATCATTTTTTTTTGTCAATCCATCTCATAGAGTAGCATATCTGTGACAAAGTAGGCGATCCATGGATGACAATGGAGATGATGTATTCGTATTCATTATCGTTCTCGTAAGATTGGTAACTCCCCCCTTTATGACACAGCATACACTGTTGAAAACCAAACAACGTTTTTTTGGTTTTTTTTTTGGTTTTTTTTTGTAGCTACACATGTTTTATATACTTTTTGCGTTTATGACAAAAAACATACTGTACGCAGAAAAACAACTTTACAATATTTCGAAAATGTTCATTTTCCACATTTTGTTATTAATGGGACAATTTACAAGTTTTCATCACTTAATTGATGATGCAAGATAAGAAAATAACACGTTAGTAAACAATGTAGTACGACTGTTATCTTTCAGTGTCTTCCTTTTACATGGATAGTTCCATGGTTCATATCTTTCACTGTCCTCGCAGCAACTTTATTCAGGGATCTGAAATATCTTACAGATCATGTGACCATTTATTATTAAATCATTACTTTGGTATGTAATTTAGAAAAATTTAGATTTTTAGTTTTTTACTCTCTGATCTATAACATGATGCCATGAAAAACTCAGATATTTTTTTTTATAATTCATTCGATTTTTTAAAAAACTTGGTAGAGACTTATAATTAAAATGTTACATTAACATCATCATCACTACCATCATCATCATCACTACCATCATCATTATATCCAATGTAACAATATTATCTTTACCACCACTGTCTTCTTTATCATAAGCACCATTATCATCATCAGCACCATCATCATTACCACCACCACCATCATCGCTATCTTCATCATCATTATCATCGCCATCTTCATCATTATCAACATCATCAGTTACCACCACCATCATCAGTTATTACCTCCATGTTTATGGCCACTGTTTTCGTGGCTTCATGGCCTCATTATGATGGCCATTATTATCATTAAAAACATTATCATTAAATAGATGTGCTATCATTGTCATTATCATCACTCAAAATACTGAAGCCCAGCAGACAGCACTTGGCATGCTTCCCCATTTGCCTGCTGAACACACATACGTCCTCAAAGCCATGACCCCCTCACCATCTCTCTCCCACCCTTTAAGTTTTTTTCATGAGCTTGCTGCATATGGGCCTGCAGCTAACAGTAGATTCCTTCTGGTGAAATGGACATGATGTACACTTGTGGTCTTGGTAGGATAGGAGCCAAGCAGAGTTTCATCTATGTTGGATCTATGGAGTAAAAAAACATCTTTGTTTAATATCTTACAAATTGTCATGTACTGTAGTATAAACACATACTGGATCAAATTATTTAATTCAGATCATATACTGTATGCAAAATACTGTAACAGGTAAAGTAAAATTGTGCCAGGGACGTGGTTTATATTAATATAATATTATATATATCAAAGGGATTGACAATCAAAATAACATTATTTGGATAGGCAAATTTTTTATTTTATTGAACTTGTAGTGACAAACGAAGGTGGGGGAGGGAGGGTGGGGTTCTCTATTATATTTAGACATCTGTACATTTTTAACTTACATGATTGGTGGCTGTGATCCTGCTATGTCCTCTGATGCAGCTTCCTTTAACACCTTCTGGGCATCCCATAATTTCACACAGTTGTCAGAGCCACCTAATAACAAAAATCACAACCCATCAATATTTAAATGAAACAATTTTGTATTAATATATCTAATTGTTAGTCACTGTCATGACAGCAAAGTTATTTTCTCTTTTAAGTGCTGAGGTCAAGTGTTTTTTTACATAAGTCAGAATAGAGAGTACAAGAGCACTGCAAAGAAAAAACAGCTGTTGTTGAAATGTGGTTGTTTTTTGAGATATCTTTAGGGTGGCTAGGGTTATTACGTCTAAGAATAATTGGCAGATAAAGAATTAAAAACATCTACCATATGGCTGACAACAACCATTTTTTCTAGGTAGTAGGGGAACGATTAAAGATTAGTATGTCTATGCCTGTCCAGTTTCTTCTTAGCATACAAGGTGGAGGTTAGTGCTTTGGCAACTAAATCATAATTCATTAACAATAAAAATAAATAATAACGTATTCTGACCTGATGCTAGGATATTGCCATCCCTGCTAAATGATACTGTGTAGATTGCATCAGTGTGCCCCTTAAGTTCTCCCAACAAGTATCCATGTCTCATCTCCCATATTAATACTCGCTTATCTGTCCCCGCTGAGGCTAGGTAGTGGCCATCTGGAGAAAAAGCTAGTGATAATATAGAGCCCTGTAACAAAGAAAAGGATAAATTAAAACATCACAATATATACTTTACTCTAATTAAAATAATTATGAAAAAAACAAACATACAGTAGATTTATTTCAATTATCCACATAATTTAAAATGCTTAAAAGTGAACAATAGTAAGAAAAATAAAAGCTAAATTGATATTTTTACATCATTGGTTTTACATTAGTATTATTAATGTTGAAATTGATTGAAAAGAGATTCTCATGCTGATGGCCCTGTCACACCTTGTCGATTTAGCCAGCGTAAGCCGACGCTGGTGTATGTCAAATAAGTTATTGGTAAGTTTCGTATAAGTTAAGAGCACGCTAAAGCACGCTGGTATACATCCTAGTACGGCGAGTACGTTGGAAAGTTTGGTGCATGCACAAAATTTTTTGACATATGCCAAAATATGGCTCGTACTTTCCGTATACGCAGGCCATAAGTTGTAGGTAAATTAAGCGATCGTTGACACACATTGACACACGTTACTTGTAAGTTACTCAAAAGTTGAAATACGTCGAGATAATTTCTAGCGTACCCAAAACATATTTCTAACCTATGAGTAACGTGCTTTGAACTTATATGTAACTTATAAAGAACATATCTCCAACGTATATTGACGCATGTAGATGTATTTGACGTGTTCCAGACGACCACAAACTTACTGAAGGTGTTTCTAACTTACAGTTACCGTATAATAGCGTTTAGGGGAATATGTACAGTATATTAAAATGGGGTGATGTCAATACAGTGATGTTGATACTGCGATGTCTAGTGCGGTTATGATTTGAATCGATGAGCGGCAGCCTTTTTATAGGCTACGTCACGTGATCATCGGTGATACGCTGCCGTGCGCTGTGCATAAGGTAGACTATCGTTGGGCATAAGTTGTGAACGCTGGCAAAACACTAAGCATTTGTTGGTATACGTTTTCTGTAGGTTACCAAAACGTTACTAATACGTTATGTATTCGTCCAATACGTAATGAATACACTATGTATGTGCCAAAAATTTAAAAAAGCATTAATATTTCAGCGTATGCCAGGGTTTTAGAGAAATTTTGATACGTCAGCATACGCTGACTAAATCGTCAAGGTGTGACAGGGCCATAAAGCCCATGATGAGAAATAAAACTAAACAGTATGTAATCAACTACGTAGTTGTGCATCTTATATAGACTAAGATGACAATAAAATATTTGAAATTGATAATATATGTGGGGAATTACTGTCCCTTACCTTATGACCTGTAAGAATGCGCACACACTTGCCATCTGTGACATCCCATAATCGTATTGTCCTATCACTTGACCCTGTTACTACATAATTTGAGTTAGGGTGAAAACGAATGCTCTGAAGAAAAAACGGACAAAACATATTTAATAATCGAATACATGAATTCCTATTAATATAAGAATTCCTATTAAAAAATAAACCAATATTGTTAAACCTAAGTAATACGTTTGTCAGCCACATTCCCCAGTTCAACATCATTTGTTTAAGTCATACTATTTGTTTGAGTTTTAGGCCTGCCAATAATATTCTTTTAATTACTATATTCTAATTTAAATATTTATGTACTGGAAGGCGTACTGGTTTATTGCATCTTTCCTTTTGCCTACAAAGATCCTTTATAATATCTGAAGGCAGTGTTTGGCTAACTTGTACAACGGTAGTATCAACAAATATTTATTCAAGAATCCTATTCTAATTTAATTTAGACTAAAATGCTGGCCAAAACACCGGGCGAGCGGTTAAGGCAGGGGCGCTGCAACATGCAGCTATAGTATCGTTGATTTGACTGGCCGAGCGGATAAGGCAGGGGTGCCGCAACATACATCCATAATATCGGCGCTGGTTTGAGCAAGAGACTCGTCTATGTTTCTGATGGTTGAACAAGTCTTCTCGATAAGGACCAGTGAACACAATGGCTTGTGCGCACTATAAAGAAACTACTGTAGTATATCATTTGAGACGAGTACAGTAGGTGATACCTCAGTGTACTGGTACAGACAGCCCCTGTGGTGGACAAGGTGGTACCAGTTTACCAGGTAGCGCCGACACAAAGGGACCTTAGGGGCAAAGAAAGTAACTGAATGAGCTACTAGTCCACGCTTCAAGCCCCAAAGCTTCTTGTTTGATGGATACCGGTAAAAATGTACACTATAATAAAATATATTTTAGTAAATAAGTAGCTTACATCTACATCTGAGAAGTGTCCAGCAAGGATCCGTAGAGGCTGGTGATATTCTGTGGCCCACAGTCTCGCTACTCTGTCATGTCCAGCAGAAGCAAAATAATGACCATATGGACTGCAAGATAAAAACCATTCATATCAGTAAGATAGAATAATGATGATAGTGGTGATAATAAAGATGTTGATATTGTTAATGATAAATAATGATGATAATGAATTTCCTCTCATTATTTCTTGGAGATATACAAATACAGTACTCATTTGAAAAGTCACAATATACAAGACATTTTCATGTGAATATCAACTTACCCAAAACAGCAATCCCACACAGGATAATTATGGCCTTTATAACACACTAAGTTTGTATAAGTATAGGTACTCCATAAACGAACTGCAAGCAATATAAAAATGTTAATACCATAATGTATCCACTACCACAAGTATCACAAAAGAAATACTTGAGGAACCGTAGCAACATCATCCAAGGGCAGGGCTTAGCGGAATTGTCCATTATGAATTATTTGCTGATGAAACTCAAACACCTTTCAACCTCATTAGTCCTTTATTATTTATTTTTAAATGGACAAGCACTTGCAACTTATGCACTTGGCAACTGTAGTCTGGCCAAAACCCCACCAACCCCCCCCCCCCCCCCCCGCCGGGGCCCCCCCCCGGAGGATGTATAGATATTTGTATCCCTGTAGACGTGGGACGTATATGTTACTGACCCAGGGATGTTATATGCTTTGGAAAGGGCCGGTAATGCTCGGCCTAGAGGCCCAGGGGTTGCTCGTATTATGTCTACCATGATTTTACTGTCTAGAAATGTAAACCCCTGACTAAGTCCCTGCTGTTCCTGGGTTGGGGGGGGGGGGGGATATATTTAAATTCATTAATTTACAGTACTTTATGCATATATCTAATCAAATATAATTTAGACTCAGTCTTCTGATTTTTGTGAGCAAGGTTCTAATTCTGTCTCTTATACACATCTACAGCCCCTGTGGTGGACAAGGTGGTACCAGTTTACCAGGTAGCGCCGACACAAAGGGACCTTAGGGGCAAAGAAAGTAACTGAATGAGCTACTAGTCCACGCTTCAAGCCCCAAAGCTTCTTGTTTGATGGATACCGGTAAAAATGTACACTATAATAAAATATATTTTAGTAAATAAGTAGCTTACATCTACATCTGAGAAGTGTCCAGCAAGGATCCGTAGAGGCTGGTGATATTCTGTAGCCCACAGTCTCGCTACTCTGTCATGTCCAGCAGAAGCAAAATAATGACCATATGGACTGCAAGATAAAAACCATTCATATCAGTAAGATAGAATAATGATGATAGTGGTGATAATAAAGATGTTGATATTGTTAATGATAAATAATGATGATAATGAATTTCCTCTCATTATTTCTTGGAGATATACAAATACAGTACTCATTTGAAAAGTCACAATATACAAGACATTTTCATGTGAATTTCAACTTACCCAAAACAGCAATCCCACACAGGATAATTATGGCCTTTATAACACACTAAGTTTGTATAAGTATAGGTACTCCATAAACGAACTGCAAGCAATATAAAAATGTTAATGCCATAATGTATCCACTACCACAAGCATCACAAAAAAAATAATTAAAGGACCTTAGCAACAACATCCAAGGGCGGAGCTTAGCGGAATTGTCTATTATGAATTATTTGCTGATGAAATTCAAACACCTTTCAACCTCATTAGTCCTTTATTATTTATTTTTAATTGATCTATGGACAAAGGCTTTGTGGTGAATTTTCAAGTACCAGTAGCTATTGAAAGCCTGTTCATTGTTTTAACATGTCTTATGTCCATGTTGGCATATCGCAAATACTCACATGGACAAGCACTTGCACCTTATGCACTTGGAAACTGTAGTCTGGCCAAAACCCCACCAACCCTCCCCCCACCCCTCCGGGCCATAGCTGGGGCTTGGCTGGGACCAGGCCTAGGATGTATAGATATTTGTATCCCTGTAGACGTGGGACGTATATGTTACTGACCCAGGGATGTTATATGCTTTGGAAAGGGCCGGTAATGCTCGGCCTAGAGGCCCAGGGGTTGCTCGTATTATGTCTGCCATGATTTTACTGTCTAGAAATGTAAACCCCTGACTAAGTTCCTGCTGTTCCTGGGTTGGGGGGGGGGGTGTGTGCAGACTACAATTGACAAGTGCATTAATGTTACCTTGGTTCTAGTTCCACTTTCCACTTATCTTTTTTCTTTTCACATATTTAATCATTAAGATTGCTTTTTTTATTTTCTTCTGACGTTACTGGTCATCCAAAGTCAAACAACCATCACCAATCACTCCAATGATGGAGTTAATAATGGTCAAGCAAATGGCAATCTGAAAGCTCTTCAAGTTATTAATATATGTTAGGTATGTTATGTTGTTATCATGTACATACCTGTAGCATCTTCTGAGGATGACAAGACAAACGATTTGTCCGGGCTGAAGCATGTTGAATACACCGGACCACTGTGGCCTAACATCGTCTTACTTTCTGATGCCGTTCTGTTTTGAAAACAAATGTTAATATCTATATACAATAAAATATCAAGTAAAATATAATTCAGTCTGTCATAGAATAGTTTTATTTAAGTCCTACATTTAATGTGAAAGCTAAACATTTTAATTTTTCCCCCACATGTTTTTATTCAACACAAACAGTATATATAATATTTGGCGTAGAAGTTGAGGCTTAGACCCTCAACCTCTTGTTCGGATTTTCAGATCTCTCGCTGTGCAGGTCGCTAATTGTGTCCTTGGGCAAGACGCTTTATCTGCGTTTGTCTCTCTACCCAAGAGTATAAATAGGCATATGCTGGGAAGTTAAACAGATTTGCTGTGAGGAAGAGAGAAGATCCCCTCAAAGCTTTGCTCTTACAAAAGAGAGATGGATACTTCAAACCTGTACAGGTTCAACTACCTTTTAAAACTTTAGTCCAACTTTTTAAAATGTTGATTAAATACAGTAATATCAATCAACCAATCATCACCTCTCATCCATAATTCTTTCAAGGACATCATCGGCTTCTTTGTCAATAGCATCTAGTTGTTTCAAGGGTTTCATATTTCTGAGTTTCTTCGGCGTCACGGACCAGACACGCACACACGAGTCAGCAAAACCACACGTCATCATACTTGAGTCGTCACTGATATCAGCGGATATCAACCTGAATTATAGTCAAGAACATTCTTTGGATCAGTATAATTAATTACTAAGTTATATATCTTTAAATGATTGTAAAACATACAGAATCATTTTTATAATCTAATTGTATATTGTAGTGGCGTTTAGGTGCTTCCAATCCCAGGTTCTTTTGTTCAAATCCTGTCATGAGCAGGATTTCTTCGCATGACTAAAATCAACTAACACTTACCTTATAAAGTCTAACTAGCCCTGTAACAAAAAACGGAGCTGGGTGCTGAACTGGGTTCTCCAGCATAAATAAGAAAGAAATATGTATGAAATATACAGTAGAAATTATATATTTAAATTCATTAATTTACAGTACTTTATGCATATATCTAATCAAATATAATTTAGACTCAGTCTTCTGATTTTTGTGAGCAAGGTTCTAATTTTAAGTGTGTTTATGCTGGTTCTGTAGCACCCTGATATTTATGTAGCTTCTATCATTTATCCAATAAACTGTTCCAAGCCTCTACTAGGTTTAGATTGAATGGAGGTATACAATATATCTATTTACTGTAGTTGTCAAAAGCCATGGTAAAAGCATGCAATTTTATTTCTCTATCAATGTAATTGTTGTCATGGAGACTGTGTGAGAAATTAACACCTTACCCATCGTAAGCATTTAAGAATGAGTAAAAACAGATTGACGGCAACGAGTCGGCTGCCAGTCGAATTCTTTTAGCAGATTCTCGCAACGCAATTGCTCTTGCTAATTTATCTGAATCTTTCCTGCAAATGAAATAAATAAGATACATTCAATATTATTATCAATAAAGAAAATTACCTGATATACAATATTAAAAAAACACCACATAATAATCATTTATTATTTTGATAATTTTAAGCATAAGATAATGATTTAGTTAATTTTTTTAGAACCCTATCTTTGCATTATTTTAACTTCATAATACAATAACAATATACAGCAATGACGACAACAGAGGTGTCAGTGGTGTGGGCAACAAGGAAGTCATATGAAGCAACAACAATAACAAATATTCATTATATGATAACAATAATAAGTCTAGTTTTATAGATAAAACTTACAGCTCTGGAAGGGGAACCCTAGTATTAGGGGGAGCATTTGGATCTGGTTTATTCTTCTTCGAGGACAAGGAATCCTTTTTCGGTTTCTTTTTCTGAAATTTAAAAGCAGAACATATGTTATTTTTTCTTATACTTCACTGTATGGTAGTAATTTTTTAAATCAAAATGGGCCCTATTTACAGAACCTAAAAATGAAAACTAGTATATTAACCTTTATATAACATTTATATATAACCTTTTTTTAAATACTTCAAAATAAAAATATATACAAAATTTAATTAATAAGAAGAGATTGGAACTCTGACCTTTGGCTTGTCATCACCCTCGCCACTTTCCTCTTCATCGTCTAGCTGCAAGTTGATATCTGGCTCTTTCAACAGCCCATAAAACACTTTAGCTTTGTTAGCTGGATAAAAAAGAAATACTAATAGTAAATAATAACAAAAACTACTACCCATTTATCAGGTCATATGTGGAAGGTCATCTGTTCTGATGAATGGGGTTGTTCTGTTGAAATATTGTTCAGTGAGTGTAAAATTTACATAAATAATGCACTCTTTACCATCTCGTCTTGCTTCTCCGACCATCCCACCAGCCTTTGCACTGATCTGCTCCTTGTTCCTTGGCATTCCATCAAATACTACAAAACAGAAGTAATATAACATATTTATTGGAATAAACACCCTGATTTGAATAAATATCCCGTCAAATAAAACGCCCCCCTGTACAGCCTATTTTGAATGAGATGAGGAATGCCTACCATCAACATAAAGGTGGTCCTCTAGTATTGTTAGCACTGTGCTGTTCTGTTTATCCTTTAAGTACCTTCTGAGAGACTGGTAAGAATCACGTGAAAGACGAATCACATATTTACTTGTCCTATTAGAAAAAAAAATCATTAATACTGTATATATAATTTCGATTTTTCATTTGTTGTGTGATCTTATAAGATCAGTTTTGTAATAATGCGACCATTTGTGGATTAATTTGTGTTGCTATAATTACCTGAAGCAAACCATTAGCTCGTTCTTTGTCATGTGATCCTTTTTAGTGACAACTGACAGCTTTGTTATATCTTCTTGGTGATATTCTTCTTGTTCTTTGCTGAACTCATCAAAGAAGTGTTTAGCTAAAGAATACAGAAATTATATTATTTATGTATCGGTTAAATGGCAATAAGATTATTTTCGAATTCTAATTTCCTACGGTTGTTATCTTTAGTTAATACATAATAAGAAGTTCAAATATTATACAATTATAGTCAGGTTTTAAGTACACTATAGGAAATTGAAGCCCAAAGAGCCTTTATTTCCTGAAAAAAATTAAAGGGAATAAGTCAAGTAAAGTCAGAGGGAGATTTCAATTGCATGACAACGGTAGGACGTAGAACGTAATGACATCACTAAAAGTCATCTGCGCATGCGAGAACGTTAAGGTCACCTCGTCGAGTAGATTCTGGAACGCAATTTGGCCAAATCTACGTATGCAGAGAACGTAGGACGCCAGGTAGGACGGTCACACATGAGTGATTCCGTTCTAGCGTCGCGTCGTCGCACAAATCAAGAGCTCCCTAATGTCTATTAGCTTGACAATGACAATACAGTACATTGCACCTTAACACCAACCTTTCTGTTCATGATCATTGTAGACTAATTCAAGATACATGTGAACAAATACTGGATACAACATCTGAGACAGCTCACTCTAAAAGATACAAGCACAGGAAATATTATAGAGATAAGCACATGATGTTAACATGCATGTAGGCTGGGGAAGGGGGAGCAAAGTGAACACCCCCCCCCCCCAATGGTAGCAATTTAGTTCCACTAAAGCAGGATAAAATACTAAAAATGACCATTAAGTTTTCATTAGCACCGTAGTATAGGTATTTAGTTCCGTATTCTGGGAGTTATTTCCATCTCCATTCTCATTTCCCCCCTTCACCAGGCCAAAAACAGCCTATGCCCCTATGGTAAGAAGCAGATATGATTGGTCACTTTGGTAACTTTACAAAATCATATGGAATGTAAAATCTTGAAAAAAGTTGACTGGTTTTATGAGTCTGATAAATTTACTGCCAGATTCCTCTTATGTTCAATTCAAGATTTCCTTACTGAAATGTACAACTACAAGTGTACTGTGTTACATGAGATTCTTTTTCCAAACTTTTTTTTCAATTACAATCTCACCTTCTGGACATCAAGGGAGTTCTCGATAAACTGCATTAGATTATTGTAGTGCTCATGATAAAAAGTTGGATCACTTTCACTGAGAAAAAAAAAATCATTTCAACTATTAATACTTTATTTATTTATTAATTTATATATTTTATTATTTATATTTTTAATACGGTATACAAAGAGGTTAAGGCTTTGAGCGGCTGGAAACTTTTTTCTGTGTCTACCTCAGAGTAGATTGAAAGGTCTGCTTGCTGATTACTAGCTGCAACATTATCATAGGATATTCCCAAGCTTGCTGGAAACAATGAGTTCTATTACATGTGTGATCAAGGCTTTGACACCAGTAGTATCTACTGGTTGGCAGGTCTCTGTTCAGGGAAAAAGCATTGCTAATTAAATTCATATTTTTATATCATTTATTTGAAAAAAAAACTGTTTGGTACTATACTGTAGATGGACACCCACTGATGCAGATGAAAGGGAAACTTACTTAGTGTAAGCGGAGAGAACTGATGATACATCCTGGTCATTGCTTGCAGTGGTCCGTACATCCTTTTCCTGAACATCAGCCTCTTTTTTCAAGAGTGCTGCAGTTTCCTGCCAATGAAATGTACACTGAGATAAAACATGGACACAGAAATCACACAAGGCAATATATTATAGATACAATATGCAAGTAGCTTGTAGTACTGTAGTAGTATTTTTTTTTTAAAAAAGGTTTGATTTAACTAGACCTTCATTTATACTTGTTTGTTGTTACAGTCTAAATGTGTATCCTTCCTAAAAATAAAATTGCATTGGATGCTATTTTGGTACTAAAAAACGACCCTTTCATTTAGTTTATTAATTATTATAACTTAATGCAATATATATGCTTAAAATGTAGCACAGGTTACAGGAACTAACATTGATACACATCAACTGCTTAAAGCTGACTTCAGGTTAATCCTAAGCCTTCGATGAGTTAGTAAGTAAGAAGTGAAGGGCGAACAAAACCCACTAATCAGCCCAAGATTCTATTGTGGGTCGTGCGTGTTGTGAACTAGCTTGGGCCTACCTTCAAGTTATTTTTCTGTAAAAACTGTAATACTGCTGCAAGTGTGTTCCTATCCATTTGTTTCTGTTGCTCATTATCTTCACCATTTTTCAAAATATTTTCCTTTGAATCCTCAGCTTCTGCCATTTCATAGACGTTTTATAAGTGATTTGTAAGTAAACAGTGAAGAAAAAAAATTGTCAAACTTATCCAGACGTTAATTCAGCAATTACAGCGCATTGAAATGGGATTTGTTGTGGCGGTTTTAAACAGCGGCTCGTATACTTCTACATACTAGGGGGCGTACTTTATCTGTCCTTTTTGATTGACCTGCGAGAGATGTCGTGAAAGCATCTCTGTAGCTCTTTAAAAATCTAATTAAATCTTTGACTTGTGCTAACATCTTCAAAAAAGGCGTAGCTAAGGCTACTCTTTAATACTTCAAGAACATAATATGAGGGATAAGGTAAGTGACATGTCTTTGTAATTCGTGAAAAAATCATGTTTGTGTCTTGCTTTTATTAGGTGCGTCAGTTCCACCCTGTGGTGTGCTTTAGATTGGACTAGATATGCCTAGGATGGTCTCTAAAATAGATGGCACTGCTGATTATTTTGCTGCAGTGCATTACAGTAAAATCAAGATGCTTGGTACTCTAAGTGATCGTAATACCAAATGTATGCTGATTGCGGATAGAAATTAAAAGAAATTTTGCCAGAAAAAGCCAACCAACCCTAACAAGATAAAGTAGGGCCTAGATAGGTAATTTTGTTTCGCAGCCACTGTCAAAGAAAAAAATTTAACTGATTCACTAACATGTGTCATTGACTTTATAACTTCCATGCATGGTGATTGTAATTAAGCATTTTTAAAATGTTGCCAATATGTGAAATTATGACTATATATTTCAATGTTTTCTTTGCAGTGGAAGAAGAAACGTATGCGAAGGTATGCCAAAATCGATTTCACAAAATTATTTATATTTGTTCAAAATAATGTAATATAACTATAAAAGGGCCAATATTTCGAAATTGCTACAAGCTACATATTTGATTTGTATTGAATTGAAAGCTTCCAAAAACAATGTTATACTAAAAAATGTTATTACAGTATTAGCACAAAACAAGCATTTTAACACTCAGATTTCAGTTCCAATTCATCCACAGTAGAACTACATTTGGCATGTTTAATACAGTATAAAGGAACATCAGACAATTGTGATTGTGTTGGGGTGGATTTGATGTTTTCTGCCATGGGTGTAAAACACTAACCATATGGTCTGGGGGAGGGTTTGGGTCCGAGAACTGCCTTTTCTAGATGCTCCAAAGTCTTAGCAATTTAATCTCGCCAAATGAGTACCCCTTTGGCTTTGCTGGTTTCAGCATTTTGGCTATGGTTTGTAAACAATGGTCAGTACAAATAACAGAAGAGCTGCATGTTCACAAATTTTTAGAAAACAAATCATTTACTTATGGTCTAATAAGTGGTGTTATGCTCCTCACTCGTGTTGGCTTCCAAATATTTCATTATCAATAAAAATCCGTAATAATACATGCTAGCATGGGTTGGGCTGTTCACCATGATAGCTTTCCTCCAGTCATTTTTATTCTGTGCTTACAGAGATCACCGGCAACAACTTGCTCCCAAGTCTTGTACTGTAGTTAATACTTTTTTTTTGTTTTTAAACAGATTGAAGCGCAAACGACGAAAGATGAGGGCTAGATCCAAGTAGATGCAAGACTCTTGGAGGCTGTTGCAACCATCCTTTTTCTGGATGTCCAACATCACAGTAGCAGCTGCAGCTCATCCACAGAATGTTGTATGATGAAGCAACTTGGCCTAGTATAGCAGAACTGTATTTCAGCTGGTGGAAAAAACCAAACAAATCAAGTCCATTGTTCTTCTGGCAATGACTTGTCAGCCATCAACAAAATAAATTTGTCTATGCTTACGGATGCAACATCACTTCAAGTGGCTTAAGACATCAGAGACTGTTCTGTTATTTAGTTGTTTTGTGTTTCTTTAAAGAATTGTCTTGTAAAATACCACAATGTCAACAAAAACGAGAATTAAACTATAGTTTATCTCTGAAAATGCATAACCTCTGATTATTTGTTTAGTTCATCTACAGTGTATGACAGTGGTGAAAGATGCAGAAACCAGGATACAGTGCTGATGACTAGGAAACCCATTATAGTTCTGCTTGCATTTGTGTATAAATAATGGAACTTCAAAGATGACTAGGATTTTGTTTATGAATATGGGCACTGTGTGTATACTGTAACATGTATCGTTCAAAATTAAACATCTTTCGAATGGAATAAACTACAGGTCTCCTTCAAATTAAGGACCACCTCCAATTAAAGACCACATTTCTGTGGTCCCAAATTGTTATTCTAATTAAAGACCAATCTGCTAAAGACCATGAAATCCCTGCTGCTATATGTGACTTTACTTGGAAGCAGACCTGTATTTGAAATTCATTCATTAGATGGCAAGCATCTCAACAATTACATAATGTAATTGTTGCTTTAAAATACAATTTAACATTACATTGGCGGATCTGAGGCGAGGTCAGGGGTAAAAAAATTGCCTGACCGTTTAAAAATGGGAAAACCTTCAATTTTCAATAAAAGGCACTTCAGAAGTCAGGGGGAAAACTCATTTCTCACCATCTAAGAACCAGAATTTTCCCAGTTAGGACCCCCTACCCCCGTATTATTTGGGGTTCATCGATTTATTGAAAAAGGAATATGTATGCAGCAACTCAATTTTTGTTATGTACAGTACATACACACATAGTACATAGTAGGGCTAAGTGTATTTACAGTATAAGAATAATGAGAAGTTTACTTGACTGTTGTTTTCAAGCGGAGGAAATCCTAAACATTTAAAGAATTTAAAAGTCATTAAAAGACACCTCAGAAGTCAGGAAAGCTCATTTCCTGCCATCTAGTGATCAAATTTTTCCCGGGAAGTACCCCCGGATCCCCTTGCTCTTTGGGGTTATCCATATCATGGAAAAAAGAATACGTAAACAACTCAATTTTTTTTATGTACGTATTCACACATAAATAGGCCTATTTACTGTAATAAAATAAGAAAGTTTATGTGACCATTTTCAAGAGGGGAAAACCTTGAATTTCGAAGAACTTAAAAGTCATTGAAAGACACTTCAGAAATCTGGAAAACTTGTTTCTCGCCATATAAGAATCAAAGTTTTCCCGGGGAGGGCCCCGGTTTTATTTAGGGTTCATCAATTTATTGTAAAAAAAGAATATGTAGGCCCTATGCAGCGACTCAATTTTTGTTATGTACTGTACATGCACCCATAGTAGGGCTACTAGTATTTACTGTAATACAAACTAGAAGTTTACCTGACCGTTTTCAAGCGGAGGAAAACCCCCCCCCCCAAATGTGAACCTAGATCCGCCCCTGCATTATCTTTCTTACTAAAATTTTAAATATTTAATCCATATAATCATATAATTTTAACTTTTAAAGAGTATGTACATTTTTGCAGAATTTCCTACTCTTTCAAACCATGAATAATCTCATAATACTTTTTTTTTTGCCAGCTGGCCAATGGTTGATATAGGAATTTGGAATAGATAGGGCCCTGAAAGTAAATTGTATAGATCATAGAGAAAATATCTGTTCTATCTTCTCTATGTATAGATGGAGGATCCAGACCACCTCAACTCCACCATGGTTGGGGCTGATGTACGAAATTTTATGTTTATGGTTCTCGATCGGAAATTTCACTCTCAGACTGAAAATTTGTAATTTTCTTTCCCCAATTTTTCTTTCCAAAAAAAAAAATGGGGGGGGGGGAGACATGGCCTGTCTTCCCCTTCCTTCATTGAATTCGCCTATGCCGGTGTCTCCGTACTTAATCATCCATACCCCACTTGGAAACCTTTGTCGATCCTACAATATCGGTACTCTCAAATAAGCTGTATATAAGCATAAAATTACACAAAACAGTGTCCTCTGCAAATTTTTATTAAATCTGAAAATTCCTACTAAATTCTATACACAAGCATTGTGAATCAAGCCACGTGGATCTAAGCATATGATTTTTTTAATGATCTATGCGATGGTGTGCAAAATGGTATGCAAAATAATGATATACTGGATTTATACGTATTTCCGTTACGTTTGCAGAGGAAGGAGGGAAAATCCCCGTGACACTAGCTTACAAGGATGCCTTCGGACATAATTTGCAGTTAGACAAGAATTAGATACCTGTCTGCCTTTTATTTTTCTTTATTATTTACTTAACCAGTAACAAGGTACTTGTTCTCGCACAAGGTGGAGTATACAGTACAGTATTTGGAAAAGTTTTAGTACTGAAGAAAAATCTGCGTTATGACAGAATTTGAACACAGGACTGTTGGATTTGAAGGCAACATTTTAACCAGCTCCACTAATTTTAGATGCTGATATCTTAGTCTATACTAGAGTTTGCTTCAAATAATTAACAATAATGTGAATGCAAAAGGCAGCGTAAATAATTTAGCCAAGATATACCCTGAACCATAGTAGTACTAACGTACTGTAAATGTGAAAGATCTTTCATGTTAAATAATTATGGTTAGTCCAAAAATAAACATAAATTCTATACATTCCTAATTTCACTTTAAATTTTCCTGTTTTTATTTTTGACAAATTATACAACTGGCAAAAAGATGGCCAGTGGGGTTCTAAAGACACAGTGGTCAGTCTGAGAAAATGTATTTTATATAATTAGACAAACCTTACAGATTTATTTGGCCCGAGTCTCAACTACTGAATCATTTAATAAAACGAATTATCTTCATTAACAATACAAAATATTGTGCACTGATTAACGTGAGGAAGATTAGATCATAAAACGGCCGTATATACGGTGCATGATTATTTGTGGATTATGGACGAAATATAAAAATTGTTTATTTGTATTAGGCACGTTTTATTCCTAGCTAAAATTATACAGATAGCAAAGTGTTTAAAAAATTTAATTAACAGAATAGTTTGTTTATTTTTACTTTGTTTTCAAATTTGATAAATAATCAAAGGTAGGCCTTTGATCAAAATAACCAATATAAACAAAGTAATGGTAAATATTGGTATGTTTATACATGACTATATAGTGCTTATATCTCCATTTTATCTGCGTCTACCCACTCCACTATGTCCACCCGATGAACCCCCTATTTTTTGTGCTTTGTACTGCCCCATCACCCTTTGTCGCCGCCGGTATGTCTGATATCTATATCGCATGTTACTTCCACTTTGACCCCCATGGACTACCGGCTGTTTTTGCTGCTGCTGCTGCTGCTGTTGCTGTTGTCGTCGTCGAAGTTGTCCAGTTCGGCTTCTAGGCCTATATATCATATAAAATGAGGAGGAATCATACGCTGAAGACACTGCAGGTCCTACCCCAGTATTCGCCACCACCTCGTTACTACCACTGCTACTGCTTATTGTAACTTTAACTTTTCGGCGTGGTGGATCTGGAGGGTTTGTTAGGATATCAAATTCCACTTCAGATATATTAGGTTCTGTAGGGGGAAGAGGTTCGGGAGTAGTTGGGTCGAAAGGTTGCTCTGGTATAGAGGCTTCACCGACTGCGTCAAATGAATTCTGTTCTTGAGCTACCAAAGATGCTTCACCAACTGAATCCAATGAATCTTGTACTTGGGCTGGCAGCGGTGGTAGAGTGGCTTCACCCACTATGCCAAATATTTCCTGCTCTTTGACTGGCAGCGGCGGTAGAGTAGCTTGAACCACAGTGCCAAATACATCTTGCTCTTTGGCTGGTATAGAAGCTTCACCCACTGCATCGAATGAATCTTCTTCAGGAGATGATTCATCTCTAGGCATCATCATCTCTCCTGCATTTCCACTTACGCTGAAGGCAGCTTCCGTTGGCTCGACAGTCGTCAACGTAATAGTAGTTGGTATGGTCGTCGTAACGATAGGCAGTGTTGTAGGTTTTTGAGTCGTTGTGGTTGTTCTTTTTAATTGCGACTTCCTGGGACATTTTCCTCGGGAAAGTACACCTACTGTCTCTTTTTTCTCACAGGCTTTTTTCTTTAGAACGCATTCAGATGGATACGATCTTAAATCAGATCCACATACTTTATCATTTTTGTCTGGTCTTGGACATCTCTTGGGACACGTCTTAGGTTGAGCCTGTTGTGCTTGATCTATGAACAAAGATAAACTATAATAAATAAACATTTCAATAATTCCATGGTTGCAGTTGATGACACACAGTCTACGACCTACAAGCGGACTTACGAGCACTTACGTTTAACACATTTTCCACTATAAGCTTTGGTTATGGGAGATCCGTATTTACAGGCCGTTCTCCGTAACTTGCATTCGTTTTGATATGTCATGCCATTAACACCACATACCTGCAAAGTAAATGATGGGAATTCAAATCCAAACAAGCAACTGAATTTAACACTCTTGCACATGTTTGGAACAACGCTAGTTCTCGATGCATTACATATAGCAGAAATCAGAGGCGACATATCATCAAATTTAAACAACATGGGACTTCCGAAATACATGATACAATAATATATACCGTAATATATATTGTTATAATATATATATATATATATATGAAATATATAATATATATATGATAATACATCGTGTAGCATAGCTCTATTTTTCTTTAGTCTTGCACATGAATAAGGACTTTCAGTAACTGGCGCTTTTTTGGGTTTGGTTTTTGCTCCAATAACAAGACGACATGTAAACAAAAAACAAAAAATAGATTATAGTCGACTGTACCTTTAGTCGCCAAACGTATTTAGATTTAAAAGTCAAGTCTTATTGCTCAAAAACACGTGGCACTGATTGGCTTGAACTTGGGGTTATCAAAGTCACGAGAGTTCATTTTTTCAGACAAAAAATTTATTTCAGAAATATTTAAGATTTAGTTAGTCAGTAGCAATAAGTGGTAACTTGTGGTAGTCAGTCTCGTATCTAGGCGAGGGGACTTCCCCCTCCCCACAAAAAAACTAGCCCCAATCGCCACCCCCGCCCCATTGAAAATGTTCAAAGACCAGTAATCACCCTCATGTATATAGGTTAAAATCACCTCATATCACCATATTTTTTTAACTAGTGCCTCCTCACTTAATTATCCCCAACCCCCTCACCTTTCCGCCCCACCCCTTTCAAGCATGGACAATGAACATACCAGGTTGAATTGCCATAACGCATGGTCCATCTCGTGACTTTTCAATGACCACTCCGGTTCTGCATGCTGTTCGCCGCATCATGCATTCGTTTTCATAGGTCATCTGGTCAGTACCACATACCTCTCCAATGGTCAGTCGTCGAGGGCAGATGATGTTTAGTGATAGACATCTAAATATTCCACTCATGAATAAAGCTGTTAGAAAAAAATGTATACGAAAGTGTTTTTTTGTTTTGTTTTTGTAAATAGACTTTTCCTGAGTGTCAATCAAACCCACAACCAATCAGAGCGTGTTTGATAGCTGCAAGGGATAGGCGCATACAATAAAAATGTAAGTCATAACTCGATATATTATAAATGTATAGTATATTATTAATTATGATAGGCCTATGTGTATATGATATATATATATATATATATATATATATGATAGGCCTATATATATATGTATGTATGTATATATATATATAATGTGACGTATATATATATATATATATATATATATATATATATCATTAGTTGCTGTTGATGATTCATGATTTGTAACTAATCACTCGGCACCCCTCTGCGTCTGCTGAAAATGCAGACAAATAATTTATTATAATGAGTTGGTGAGTATGATATGCAAACATTTTTCTAGACAATTAATGTCTGTCTGAATAGATACAGACAACAAAATTTAATCTCACTATTTTTGTTGAAAGATTTAATTATTGATACATTATTCGCAAGAGTCCAGTGTATAACACCCATGTGGGATTGTTATTAAGAAAGGCCCTTGGTGCGTGCCTAGACACTGCTGTCAAAGAATAATAAAGAGACGGAACGGTTGACACAGCGTCCCTATTTCAGACAACTTATTGTTTAACAACGATGAAATGTATAATCTACAGCATTATTATCGCATACGTTACAGAGAAGGGCATATTCGTAAATTGTATTTTTTTCATTATGTTTGGATATCATTTCATGTTGCAGTAGACCTATGTAGCGTCTGTTCGATACACTGCTTTTGTATTTTTCGAAGTTGAGGCCTAACCCCGCTTTATCCCTTAGTTGCAAGGACATGTAACCGTTCGAAAAGTACAAAAGCAATGTTATTTTTCGTTTTTCGTTGCCTGCTAAATAACATTTTTACATGAATTTATGACTTTATGTTGCACATAAGCTAGGTGGAATTGTGGTCTATAGTAAAAACTGTATACAATTATTAATATACTGTTGTTTCCAGTATTTACTACAAAACCAAATCGCAGGCATGCACAGTGAACATTCATAAATCACATTAAACCTCACCTTGTACTTTTTTAACAGTTGTTATTTTCTGCTCTGTTGTTGGTTCGGGTGTTGTTGGCGTTTCATCTTCCCAATTTGCCAGTTCACACCTCCCGGCAAACTGCACATAAAGGTCTTCCTTTCCTAGCTCACATGCTAGTTTAAATAGGAGACATTTAGAAGGATACGTTTTCCCATCAGAACCGCAAACTCTTTCATAGTATCTTGGTTGGGGACAGAATCCACATGCTGTATATACAAAAATGAAAATCGAATATATTATTTTTATAACTGTTTAGATTAGACAATGGAGGTGGTGTCGTCTTTACGGAAATCAATTATTGGAGGTGCCACCCGCACCTTATCCATTTGGAAGCGGTTTGGCGCAGTGGGAACGGTTTGGTTGGCCAGCAACCTCAAGGTCGGGGTTTCAATCCCCGACCTCGAGGTCGGGGATTGCATTTCGCTTGTGTCCTTGAGCAAGACACTTTATCTGCATATCTTCTCTCCACCCACCCATTATAAATGGGTACCTGGTAGGTTGCCTGCTCCTCCGCTGATTACCAGCAGCAACAGTTAGCATGTGGACCCAATGACCAGGGAAAGGAACTGCGCTTTATAACCGCAAGGAAGAGGCGCATTATACGCATTATAAATGCCCGTACCAGTACCAGTACAAGTACAAGTCTACCAGATATATTACTGTGGGGGTGGGGGAGGATTTCTTTGATGGATTTGAAGAAGGTTGGCCATGGTTGTGAACTTATTTGTTTTCGTTTAAAGAATATTACACGAAAAGCTGCATTCATATCGGATCCAAACCGATCCGATCCGAAAATCGGTTCGGCGTGAATGCACCTAAACGCATAGGATTTTAAAAATAATGCACGCATTAATTCCAGACCAGACGGATGGATTAGTAATACATGCATGCATTTCAGACTAGACGGATAACAAGATACGAACATTAAAAAAATATACGTTTGCGTCTTAAACGTATACCAAATTGATAAAACAACAGTAATCTCAGAATATTTACGTCAACTAAAATGTCTGTCTGGTTTCTAGTACATTTTTGCAGTCTACCTCTTGGGGTAGCCTTTCCCTGGGAGCTAACTTGAATTAGTTACCTCGGATGTAGCCTTTTTAAGTGCAGACTAACTCTCGTAATGACGAACGTGAATGCATCTTCGTCCGACAGTGCTGTCACATTCGAGTAAGTACCAGTTGTCTTTGCATCTGATACGTCACCGTGCAAATCTCCCCAGACAATGAGAACTGCCAAAACTTAGTCATCGACTGATTTCACCCGTTCCCATTTGTCTCGCTTTTTTACAGTTCTGTCTCGAAAGATTTTGCTACCCATGTGTCCTTCCTTAAAGCTCTGTTCATTTGAATTTTACAATTACATTGACAATCTTAACTTTCATCAAATTATATGGTTTGTTCACTATAATTTTGTTACGTGTCTGCTGGTCTCATTAAACGCCAATAGGTCACCCCGAGGTCTTATAAAAGTATAGGCCTAGGATAAACTCTCTTTTTTCCCAGGAGAAAGAGTATATCAATCGACATAAAACATTGACTGTTAGCTTTCCATTCTTCCTTTCTATTTTTTCATTATATGTAATTTGTTATAGTTTGTTTTATATAATAAAACCACATTGTAAGCTACATCAGGAGTGATGTCATGCCTTGTATCAACTTTGTTACTTGAACGATCGTAAATTTATGCCATATCCTGTATACACAAAACCAAAACGAGAACGAAATGCTGTAGTTGGTGGCGAAAATGCCAAGTATAAAGAAAATTCTTATCCTTAGCCAACAAACTATTGACAATTAACTTTGACTTTACCATTATCGTGACCGGATGATCGGTCGAAAGACATTTGGACAATTGGCCGAACCGACATTTTACCGAAAGGACTTTTCGCCAATAAAAAATTTACACTGGCTCAATATAAGACAACGTGCTATTTTCAAGTTACTTTTGTTGACTTTCAAGTCACTTAGCTTTCATCAACCTGTTTATTTACTCTATCACCTTTCCCAATATATTCCTCTTCGTCATCTTCGTTCTTCATCTTAAAATCTTTTGACAGTTCCATCTCGTAAAGGCAAATCAAAAACTTATGGTCAACGTGCTTTTTATTTTCAAGCCCCCTTTACATGGAATTCCTTGCCGCTTTTTGTTCGCGATTCGTCTAATTTGCTTTCTTTAAAAAATCTTAAAACGTACCTAATACTGGAACGTTAACTGCTTTATTTCCTCACCTAGCGCCTTTGATGTTTTTTTAATTGGTGCTATATGTAAGTATTTGTTATTATTATTATTATTATTATTATTATTATTATTATTATTATTATTATTATTATTATTATTATTATTATTATTATTATTATTATTCACCACGGGGCCTTGTAGTTAGGGTGGGAGCCTATTGTTCTGATATTAAAGTATACCGCTATAAATATATTGGAATTTCCATCATTATGCGGATGGTATGTAATTAGAAAGAGTTACTCATTTCATTGAAGGGGGACGTAAAGGTAATTGAAAGTTGAGCATCTTATCTAAAACTAAACCCGTGGGCAGGGTATGGTGTATTTATTCAAGACCATTCTAACAACCTTGGCTGGCAATTTTTAATCAAATCCGTTGCCAATGATGAATAGACACACCTGAGTTTACTGTATTCGAAAATAACTTACCTGCATTATTACGTCATTACTTTTTATTAGGCCTACGTTACTGTTTTTTATTCATTATTACTGTATGAAATTTAATATTGGTGCTTTATTATTTTTTAAATATATGCTTAATCCTATGTGATCATGTATAACAAAATACCGTACATTCAATTTCAGAGTTGAGTATCAAACATTTCTCTCACTTAGGCCTACATTTGGTAGCCATCATTTTGAAGATGCCTAGTTTATAATCTGTCCCATTACTCTCTAATTCGTTTCAATTACTTCTTTCAACAACATATTATTTTAGATCCACTGAGGATTTTAACCACTTATAAATGGTTTCGAGTTGCCGCGGCCATTGTAGTACCGTACCTGTCTCTTATACACATCTAGATGTGTATAAGAGACAGGTATATATATATATATATATATATATATATATTGAACGTTAAAGAAGAGAAATCTGCAAGTGTGAAAAAGAAGTTGCATATATAGGCGCCTTTTCATATAAAGCGCAATTCGGCATGGTCATTGGGTCCATAAATGTTACCGTACTGCTGGTAATCAGGTACCAAGACTCCGGGTAAAGAAAACAGTTCCCGCTGCGCCAAACACACACACACACACACATATGTTTTTTATGTTTTATTATTGTAAATACGAGACTTATATAGATTGATAATTTGAAGGTTTATAGTTTCAATTCAAAGTACGTTGTCACGAAACCAGCAGTCAGATACGGTTCCAACAATGCTATTTGCCAGTTTTAAACATGGATATCATGCTAGGGAGAACATTGTCTGGAAATTCCAGGTGGAATTGAGTCAACACGGGTGCATCTTTTGGCATGTGCAGAGCATGTCTGTATATCAAATTTAAAGTTGATTTTTCAGCAGTTGTTCATTGGATATTGCATCGTTAACCCAATAAGAATCACTGTTGATAATGGTAGTTAGTCATACACTGATATATGTACTCGCCATTTTGATGACGTCAACGACTAAAACCATTGAGAAAAGTGTGTCGTTAGATTGCCATGAAAGTAAAATAAAATGTAGATATTCGCTTTCATCTATCATGTGAATAATATAATAATAATAATTATTATTATTTTTATTATTATTATTATTATTTTTATTTTTATTATTATTATTATTATTATTCATTATTATGATTTTAGTAATGGCATTATTGAAATTAATTTAGGCCTATTATCATTACTTATAATATACACTTGCTAAATTGTTCAGCCACAGCTGGACACAGTAGCACAATAAATATTGAACTCTGCCAGATATCATGATTAAAATGATGATACAAGTAGATGTTAATTTGAAGTTGGAGACGCGTTTTAATCTAATGTCGACTAATTACCGTATCTCATGATTGTGTTCGTAAACTCACTTACCATCACAGATAGGGTGATATTCGTTTATTCAATTTTTATTTCGGAATAATATTTTCATTAAATTAACTTACATCTACCAAATAGAAAATTGAAAAATTAACGACAATGACTACCCAGTTGGGCGTACAAGTCATATTGGACGCTCTTAAAGCAAGCTTAAAGTCTTTTTTAATATCTGTCTATTTTGATATCAAAATTTAATCTACTTAATCGAGAAATACACAAAGTATCCTACAAACAAACTTTCAATTTCTTATAACAACATGAACCGTGTTACATTTGTAAATCTAGGTTGCATTAACACAGATGCATATTCATTGACATTACTTCTACAATAACGTTGATCTCAAACTGTATTAGTTCCTTATACACCTGGTTTTAAGGACTAATTCTTCTGCTGCACATCGCAACCAAGGTACTTAAAAAACTCCCTAAACAAACATTAGCTCTGATCACATTATGATAGTTCAATCAGTGGGGAAGTACAAATCGAAAGAAACGCAACCCTGAATTAATATCTCTGCGAAATATCAACTAATCAATCTAGTTTAGGAAGTATATTTTTCTTGATTTCCATTATTTATTTAATATCAAATACACAACATTTTCTGTTGTTTTTAAATAATACTATTTTTAAATGGGAATTCAAAGTCACGTTGATCTCCTCTGGAACGTTGCCAGGAAACCAACTGTATTTAAGGTAGAAAATGATGATTCATTGAGGAAGTGTTTTTAATGTCTACGAATGAGCATGTTTGGAAAGTGGGAAAAGAAATAAAATAAATCAAACTTGTTTGTTAAAACCTTGTTAATAAGGTCTTGTATATTATTTGATGACGTATGTTGCGTAACCCGGATGTTCACATTTATTTAAATGTTTTTCGTCGGTAAATACGAATCAGGATAACATGCAAAAATTTCCCACTTAATTACTGTATGAACCGAACTGTCGATACCATAATAGGCCTGCTTTTAATTGAATCTACATAAAATTCTCCCATCTCCAAAACCACATCATTTCTGATTGTATAATTGTTGTCGTCTATGTATTAATTATCGTAGTATCATTAGTTCTGCATCATTTTTTAACGTGTATTTTTAATTGTTTTTCGACGTAGGCTTAAACGTTTTGGTTAAAAACTATTTTATATGTTTTGTTATTAGTATTCCTATATTATTATGCCTATTATTATTATAATTATTTTACAGTTTGTTATTGTAATTAATATTCTGAATAGGGCCTGATCAACGTGCACTATGGATATCATTTTTAGATAATGTAGTTACTTGTGGAAGTTCCACACAGAGATGTTTTGTATATTGATTTTACAAAAAAAATATATATTTTAGTGGGAATAATGAAAGAGAAAAACAAAAATATATATAAATATACACAATTTAGTTTAGTTTTCAGAACTTAAATAATCTGAGTTTGCATTTTCTCACTAAACAGAGAGCACATGGGATTGGTTATGGCTATATCGCAAACCGAAATAATTTTAAACTCATGATAAATTACAGCCCACTTTTTATCATTATCGTTAGATAGCCATTTAAAAATTCCTGAGCTTTAAATATTTCATTGGCTGTGCAGCGCATACCATATATGGATATACCCGCTCCCTAACTGGTAGAAGGTGTATATTGTACGGGCGCCTGACACATGGGCTAGCAGCTCATGACGTGTTGAGAAGCCACTTTAAGGCGAGCACTGTAAACTTCAGTGCGTGATATTATTTATTAGAATCTACATCATGATACAGAATAAGTTAACTACCGTGGAGCAGTGTTCCCAATGGGATGTCATTCTTAATACGAGTCTTTTCCCAACGGATTATGAATGTGATGCTTTTGGAGTAAATCAATTAGATCGTCTGGGTCTTTCTTGAAAAAAATAATAATGACATCAGTGTGAGCATCACCCCGAGCGTCACATCGCCATGAGTCAACGAGTTGACTGTGATGCAGACCTACTAAATTTAGGGTTACATTTGTACAACATTTAAAAAATTGATGTTTAAAAGACGCGGGGATACTTCATAAAATAAGTAGGCCTAGAAACATATCATGTGTGTATTATATACGCTAACGTTGTGCAACTGTTGAGAATGATTAAAAACTCTCTTGACCCTAAAAGAAAATGACGTCACATCATATCTATCTACGTTTATCCTCTAGGCATAATCTTATGAAATTACCGAGAATTATACTACCATCTCTCAGCCTGTATATTATAGGCCTACTGTCTTGATACTATATATAACTTAAAAAGTAAACGTACAAACTGATTTTACCCTTATTGAATTTGAAATTAAATTGATATTAGGACCTACCTATTACTACCCCATAATAACTTTCATCTAATTTATTGTTTTGGCATTTCTATATTTTTATGTTTATTTACATTAATTTTATCATTGTAGTAGGCCTATGTTATATTATTTCCATTATTAGCTTGTATTTTAATTTTTAAATATTATAATTTTTGTTTGTTATTATCGTTATTTAGAATAAATCTAAATTCCATCTTGTGGCCATTTACGGTACTGAACTCCCCTATGCTATGGAACATAATTATCAAGAAAGAAGACACTTATATTTCTGTTTATGCTTGAATCTAGGTAGGCATAGATCCCCCAATAAAATATCAAAATCGTGACCTACTTTAAGTTTATAGGGTTTTAGGTCCTTAAATCAATTTGTGATGGATTTCCTTTAAATCAATCAGATCACCGGCTTGTAGTTCTATTGACTGACGTACTGACAGCAAATATTTGTACAGTGCAGTTGATTATGGCTACTTTGGGAAAATAGATAATTTTCATAGAAGCCATTCAAAGGCGATGCAATGATAAAGTGTTACTTTCAATTTTATGTAATTTGGATTGTTTAAGCTAAAGTTTAGCCAAGTGGCGTGCAGCTATGATTGGTGTTTGAGAAGACTGCCTTCCAAACCCGGGGCTTGGGTTCAATTCTTTTATTACTAACATGATTTTTTTTTTAGGATCACAAACAAATCCACTCCCATAACCTTATAACGAAACTTAATTTATGTAGTGTTTGTCTTGTGGAATTAATTGCCATTACAAAAGCGATTAAGTTCAATATTGGCATTTCCTTATTCTTTGAAAACAAAATACATATAAAGTAGTCCTAAAAGCATATAGGACCTATTATTAATTGAAATACAACAAATTTTAATTTTTATATTGTCATTCCTGCAAAAGTGCATAAGGATACATTTTATGTTGACAACAATGACAAGATATAATAATGGATTTTTAAGGAGTATCAAATCAAACTTTTCAACTGACCAATCAAATAGGCCATGAATACGCGCTTGTCCCGCAAGTATTACGTACGATTAAGCCGTCGTTTGGTGTGACAATTAACAACATCTGATAGTGAAGTGTTGTAATGTTCACGATGATGTGTTTGTGTATGTTTCGTTTATTAATGTGTTTTTCTTTCTATCTTTTTAATACATATTTCTAGTCACCAAACCCATTCCTTCATTTTCGTTTATAATAAACACATTTGGAAGAAATTCTACGGGATGAAAACGACGATGATGATATAATAGTGAAGTGTTGTAATGTTAATGATGGTGCTATTATGTGTGTTTTTGTATATGTTTCGTTTACTAATGTGTCTTTCTTTCTACATTTTTAATATATATTTCTAGTTACCCAACCCATTCCTTCATTTTCCTTCATTATAAACACATTTGGAAGAGGATTTCTTCAACAAGCAAGTATCAGAGCTAAACACTATATCCCAGTAGAATATATAAATAAAAGTGTGAATATACGTACGGTAACAAAATAGTTGAAAACCCTTTATTTTTGCATGTTATTTTAATTCAATTAATTTCAAGATATTATACGCAGTGACCACTTTAATAACAAATAATACGTCATGTTTAATCTAAAATGTTGTTACTGGCGTAGGATATGTATGTTTTTAATTATTAACTATTTTTTAAATTATTAATTATTTGTTCCTATTTATTTACCTATACATCTTTGTTAAATTGAAAGTGGCCCAACTCTTTAACACCTTGCCCATAACATATTTATTTTTTGAATTGACGCAATAGAAATTTGTGTTATCATTGTTGTTGCGATAATTTTATTATTGTTGTTGTTAGTTTTGTAATAATCTTTATTATTAGGTTGCTATATATTTTCAAACGAATCAAGTCGGAAACAGAAACTCATAATTCACTAAATATCCATAAAAACATTATTAATTTGCTAAAACTTGATACCGTTTTCATACAATCTAATTTTCTTGTAAAGACACCTGGAAGCTCAACGATAACAAGTATAAAATCTACGGTAAGTAAGCTAAGTAGCACTTACATAGACTCTTGAGATATGAATTAATATTAAGATCATAAGGGCATAGAAAGTAAATAAGATTTAATATTATGGTTCAATGTTTTGAAGAGTGTCTATCACTTTAACGCTTAGGCCTATATTTGAATTTGTTTCCTTTTTTGAGTAAATATATGTTGAGAGCCGCAGTACCAGAGCCGTTCTTATTGGTAAACTAGAGGCGTAATGTTTTCCCATGGATACAGGGCAAAGTAAAATAATGATTAAAACAAGTCATTATAAAATATATAATTTAATTAGCTTTGGTTTAATCAGCTTTGAACAAGTCTTTGTGAACGGGTTAATATTTCCGTTATTCATATGCAGCGTGTAACCATGGAGGAATTAAACTAGCTTTTGAAGATGTAATTTGTATTGTAAACAAAATTCGAGTACCGTAATCTGATTGCGGCTTAAATTGTGAAGCAAACTGAGCACTTGTTCAGCACAACCATGCTCAAGGTAGTAGGTAGGTCCTATATTAACTATCGGGCGGCAAGAACCATAGTGGAGCGGTGGTCATGGTACTATCACCGAGAGCGTAACTTTCGATTTCAGTTTCTATGGTTGAAAGTTAACGAATCGTTTTGCCAGAGAAATGAACAGTCATGTTTTCCGTGTTTATCTTATTCCAATTCTGTAGAAGATTCAAGGGCAATCGCTGAAAAAAAATATTAGTTTCACTCTTAAGAGTAAAGAGTTAGTCAAAACATTATGCACTTAATATGTATACATAGAAAACACATTAAAATTTAACGGTTACCATAAATAATTGGTTTATTTGCAAGAGCTATCATAAATCATTAGTTTATTGGCAAGTGCTATAGCGAATGTGTTGGGATGATAACAAATAGGGACCAACTATGTTACCAGAACAGCTTATAATTTACAGAGTGTGCTGAGAACATGTGTGTTGTATAGGGTTGTGTGTGTTTCACTGGCTAATGTGCTATCTGTCCCGTCTGTCTGTCTCACAGTGTCTATCACTGAATACCTTCCCCTGGTGCATATACTTTGTCTGGGTCTATTCCCCTTATCAATGTCGTCCGTTTTTGCTTCATGATGTTGTCTTCTTAAACATTGATCATAGAAAAGTCATTAGGGAGGTCATATCTGTATAAATTATTGAAAGAAATTAACACGCTTTTGAGATAGGATATCGGAATATAGCTTGCCAGCGTGACTAGGGTATTCGCTATTGTATTCCCTGACGGGAGTGAGTCACTCCTGTGGGCGGAATCATACTCACAAGCACCGTACCTCAGGCAAATTGACATCATGTGTAAGTAATAAAACCAGTAAATGCTAAGTTAAATTTGTTTTTAATAACAGCATATACTTTAAAATGCGTAAATATATCACATTAAGTTTATTTATTTGGTTATTATTTCTAAGTGAATGTTTTATAGAGATAGTTATATCCATGGATATAAATATATATACATAGGCACTTCACTTTCTATAAATTTTGATTTCATAATGAATTAAAGATTATTAAGAGATCTACGTGTTTGTATTACCTCCTTGTCCATTTGCAGTATGTACTCCGATTGCAGCTATGAACAGATACAGTGCTATTAACCAGCTTACGTACGCCATCAGATCTCCCTCTGGAGAGAGATAAAAATCAAAACATATTCACATAGTGGATTACATCTGTATTGTGCTACTAAGAACTAATTATCATTATGCCTATTATTAGCATTATTATTATCATCATTACAATAATTGTTATTAGGCCTATTATCTTCATTTTTATTATTATTATTATTATTATTATTATTATTGTTATTGTTATTATTATTATTATTATTATTATTATTAGGCCCTATTATTATTTTTGATCTTCTTCCACTAATAATTATTGATGATTGATTATTTATTATTATTATTGTTGTTGTTATTATTATATTTATTATAGTTGTTATTATTGTTGTTAATTATTATTATTATATTATTATTATTATCATTATTGTTATTATTATTGTATCAATTTGCTTCGATCAAATCAAACTTTATTAACATCTCATGGGATAGTAGACAAATACAATTACAATACAGATAAATGTAAAAATATTAATAAAAAATGAAAAAGCTTAATCAATTCAATTATATTGTAAAAATCATTAAAGTTAAAAAAACATAACACTATCACATAATTCATCATTCTCATAATTAACTCATTTAAAAGGTTATTAGAGTCCAGTAGCGCTTGCTTTGCTTTCTCGTGAATTGCCGTGTTTGAATCGTCCAGTATTGAATCGACACACTTCATACACAATGTTAAGATCCAAACAGGTGGTTGACTTTTTTGGCAGATATATATTTTTTCACAATCAAGACAAGACAGGAAGGACATTCGCATAATAAAATAAAATGCACAAACTTCGAAAATTTGTTACTCATCGACGTATGAATGGAGTTTTTGGAGCCAATTTGTAATGGAAAGAATCAGACAAATTATTGGAGCTCCAATTCAGTGAATGTTTCTCTGGACAGAATCCAATGTGAGTGCTCTGGGCCATGAAAGTATATATTATAGGCATATATAT